ATATAGCTTTAAAGAAGCTATTTACGATTATAATACTATTTATTTAGCTTTTATAGCCTTAACTTCTATTAATATATTTATTATAACTAGCTAGTTATAATAGTCAACTTAGTTATTAAAAATTAAAGTTTTTAAATAATAGCTATTAATATCTTTTTAAATTAATAAAAACTAAAAATAAAAGAGGCAAATACTTTAATATTAACTTTATTTTTTAAAAAGAATTTAGGTAAAGAAATAGTATTTATATTAAGTAGTTGAGGTTATAATAGTTGAAAGTTAGTAATTTATTATTTTATAAATATATAGTTTAATATTATAATTATTTATAATCTTAGTAATTAAGATCTATTTTTTAATTTAATAAATAATAAAAAGCTAGAGTTTGTAATTTTTACCTTCTTATTCTAGATCGGTAAAAGAGAGTATTTCACGGGATTCTCTATATCATAGGGTTACTTAAACATCTTTCAAGGGCGGGGCACTACTCACATTTGTCCTTACTGATAATGGGCTTGAACCGAAGCTGCACTATGTAAACGACTCCTGCCATCTTTAACCAATACAATACAGATGAGAATAGACAGGTTTAGATAGATACGGTATAAAGTTTGGCGGCGATTCGCAAGACCTCTTCTGCATCCATTGGAATCTTGCAAGAAACGTTCCTGCCTCCAGGAACGTCTCACAGCGACGATATTCCCGGTCTTCGGGCCGATCAGAGGCTAGATTGATAAGCAGCAGCCCAGTTTTCTAGTGCCAGTTAGTAAGCGTCGTAAGTTAAACCATTATTTCGAAACAGCACAATAGCTCTATAAATGACGAAACAACCTCGTCCATATCATGTTGTATTCCCCATAACTTACTTTTCCCATATCCATCACACTCAACATGACTAATAAAGGCTCTGTTCTACTTGTTGGCCCCGGTTTCATCGGCCTTCAGATCTTGGGGGAGCTCTTGTCCGAGGGCTACCCTGTGTCTACATTGGTACGAAGGGAGGAGGCTCGGGCGAGTCTTGAGGAGCTCGGGGCCAAGACCGTCCTTGGGTCGCTAGACGACCACGACGTCGTCAAGAATGCCACAGTTGATGCCGACATTGTCATCCACACCGCATCAGCTGACCATCTGCCGTCCGCTGTCTCAATCTTGGATGGTATCCGAGAGCGCGCCGAAGCGGGCAAAGATACCATCTACATCCACACCAGTGGCTGCAGCGCCATCACCGACGGATCGAATGGCGACCACAAAAGCGAGAAGGTCTTTCAAGATGATAAGCCAGAGACCATTGACAGCATCGCTGATGACGCCCCTCATCGTTCCATTGATCTCGCTATCCTCAAAGCCCGTAGCGAGTTCGGTAACAAAGCAAAGATTTCCATTGTGCTCCCACCTATCATCTACGGAGTAGGGAAAGGCAACCGCCTCTCGATCCAGCTGACTACGATGGCTCGGTTCGCTATTAAGCATGGCTACGCCGGCTACGTTGGGGGCGGCAAGGCAGTCTGGGGCCATGTCCACGTCGCAGACCTGGCCAGAGGATACTTGACCATCTTGCACTATATGGAGTCTACCTCTGCAGATATGGTCCTCAAAAATCCTTATTTCTTCGTGGAGAATGGTGAAGAGTCGTCATGGGGCGAATGCGCCGAGGAGATCGGTAAGGCGCTCAAGGATGCTGAAAAGATCCATGATGCATCTCCTCGACAGATTCCGACGGACCTCTATGACGACCTCTTTGGAAAGTGGTCTTTGCCGGTCGTTGGTCAAAATGCCAGGAACCGTGCTAACAGATTGCGTGCTCTTGGCTGGAAACCGCGAGAAAAGTCTGCCTTCGACTCATTAGCGGATGAAGAGCTGCCTATTATACTGGCTGAAAAGTCTGAATTCAAGGGCTATAGTGCTCCAGTGGCATCTTGATCAGTTTAGCGTCTCTAGTAGTTTAACACTTTTGTACGTCGAAGACGCGGTTTACAATACCTTTTCTCAAGTCTCATATTGGGGAAGCTCTTAGTCGAAGCAGAACAAATCAATCTGAAATGTGTTTTTCCCTAATTCTTATCGTGACCAACGTCTCCGATTTGTGGTATTGGGGAGTCGGCACACTCAGCGTGTGAGAAGAAAGGAATTGAAGTCCGCTCCTTACCCTTTTCATCCAGTAGGCCCAGTGATTCACAGGGAATAAGACAGATTTATGAAGGACGCTTCTATGACGCCGACCCTTTAAATGGAGGGAATGGTAGAAGACACGTTGAAATCAGTATTCTATCAAGTGCCTGAAATTGAGCCATGTTCTCTACATGACCGCGGCGGTGCTATGCAAGAAGCAGAATCGTCTCAAGATAGGACTACTCGATCAGCTTGGAAATCGTACGTAATGTTCTTGGTTCTGACTTATTCCTCCATGCCCACTTTAAACCTTTCTAAGCCACTAGACTTGGCTCTTCCATGCGGTAGGGCTGATTCATGATGAATAGTCATTCGGCTGATGTGCACAGCTCCTTTTCTATCTTCTTGGCGAGCCTCGAAGCCCTGCGCAAATCTCGAGAGAAGATCGCTGACGAAAGTCCGTACTCCGTATCATTTGCGACCGCGAGGGCATCCTCATCAGTCTCGAATTCGATAACGGAGACCATTGGTCCGAAAGACTCGGTCATATAGATCTCCGTACCTGGGTTAATATTGCTGACGATAATAGGTCGAAGTCGCGTATTGGTCTTGTCAGTGACGTTCGGATCACCACAGACAAGCTAGGCGCCCCGAGTCAATGCACTACCGACTGAAGCACGATTCTTAGCCACTGCTCAGTCTTTAATGAGCACAAGACTGTCATTCCTTGGTAAGGAAAAGCTTAGATGTCCAAGTCTTGAGCTTTTCTTCAAACTCAAGGTGAATGGATCGATGAACAAGGATACGCTCAGTGTTCATACAGATCTACCCTGCAAACATGAAGGCTCTCGGAGCACAATGTTTGGCTGCGATGTCGAGATTAGGGTCCTCGCATACAATCGCAGGCGCTTTGCCGCCTAATTCTGAAAGAAGAAACTTGAAATCCGCCCCTGCTAGCTGAGCGATGATTTGGCCCACGGCAGTGCTACCTGTGAAGTTGATCATTTTTATGGATGGGTGACTAATCAGCAATTTGGCAAGTTCTGGGGCGTTCTCAAGTCTGCAGGTGAGGAAGTTGGTCACACCGTTTCGTATCCGGGATATGATCCGGCATGTGTCTTCGGCAAGAGGGAATATGTTCGAGCATCCGCAGTCGGGAACGGGGTCAGAGCTCACAGGTTCGGATGCCGGTAGTGGTCCACTTGGATACGTAGATGAAGCTCAAAAATTGGGTATTGAACAGCGGATTTGTAAGCTAACATCAACTTTATCGAGTCCACTTTTACCACTGTATGACTAAACATCAGCCCGGATGAGATCTACTGGATTCTGGGCAGTTGGCAGAAAAGGTGGATCTGGAAGACGATCTGGGCCGTACAAACGACCCTTCCACTTACATACCACTTCTGAGGAATCGTGAGCTGTGCCCACTTCCTCCTCTTTCCATCTCCATACGCAGTACCAATATATCTATTGTTGCACTTCGTGCCAACCGTACGGTTGCCCTGCTGACGTGTATACCAACAAGATCCTTACAAGCTGTCAGTCTCTTTTGCCGCCTTTGCAACATTATACCTTGAATCCTTGCAACCCCACTTGCCTCCGCGACCATGGCGGATCTTGTTGAAGGCACCTGCGAGCCCACTTTCAACCGTGTTCGAGGGTTGCTTGGCAAGCGCATATCCGAAGGAGCTGAAGTCGGGGCCTCGATCGTCGTCAACATCGATGTCCAGAATGTAGTCGACATTTGGGGTGGTTACTATGACGAAAGTCGCACCCGTCGCTGGGAGAGAGACACCATTGTCAACGTCTTCTCTACCACGAAGACTATCACCAGCCTTGCAGCACATGTCCTTATCGATAGAGGCATTATCAACCCCTACGAGAAAGTGGCAACTTACTGGCCTGAATTTGCCGCGAATTCCAAGCAAGACATCGAAATAAGGCACATAATCTCACACACCTCCGGGGTTGCGGGATGGGACCAGCCAGTCTCCCTGGCTGAAATATGCAATTTTGACAGAGCAGTGTCACTGCTGGCAGCACAGGCGCCATGGTGGACACCGGGGACGGCCTCTGGCTATCATTCATTCATACATGGATTCTTGATCGGGCAGGTCATGCGTAAGGTCACTGGAAAGACACTGAAAGACTTTATTCGAGACGAGATCTCTGGGCCACTGGGTGCAGATTTCCAACTGGGCGTCGCCGAGTCCGAACTGCATCGGGTTTCTGATCTCATCCCATGGGCTGTCCCCCCGAGCAACAGTTCCAACTCTACTTACACTCCTAGTCCAGACTCGATTTCGGCACGGGTCATGGGGAACCCCGCATTCAGCCCTGAGATGGCCAATACCGCCTTGTGGCGCAATGCTGAGATTGGATCTGCCAACGGCCACGGAAATGCGCGCTCTATTGCAAGAATTCTCTCGGCCATTTCTCTGGGCGGGCATGTCGATGGAAAACAATTTCTCAAGCCGGAAACCATTGACTTAATTTTCCATCAGATGTCAAATGGCACAGACTTGGTTACTAACATGCCCACACGATTTGGAATCGGCTTTGGTCTGACCGGTGAAGGAGTGATGCCTACGTGGCTACCTCAAGGAAGGATATGTTTCTGGACCGGTTTGGGAGGCTCAGTCGCCATCATGGACTTGGACATGAAGATGACTATCGTATATGTCATGAACAAACTTTACCATGTTGGTCAAGGGTCTGACTTGACAGTTGAATACGTGAAAGAGATTTACAGGGCGGTGGAAGCATCACGGAGTTGAGCAAAGTTAGGCTATCATATTTAGAGCCATGATAGAGAGCGCTTTATTCAACTCAATCAACTTCACCTAGGCCCTCAGATTACCTAATTACTAGGAATCCATGTGCGATACTCTAGTAGGTTTTGTGGAAGAGGCAAGCAACGAATGGTTCAGAATAACCTAGGTACTCATTCAAAGGCGAATGTTAGTAACGACTCCCTTTCTGGTTCCGCCCCCTCAAATGTCCAACTCTAGAGCAATTAAGCATACTCAATGTATTATGGGCCGTCATACAGGATCAGTTGCCATCGTTAACAATCCTCACTCCACGGTCAGAGTAGCCAAGAAGATCAGCTATTGTCCACATCCTGGAAGTATGGCCTACAGTATCCGACGGGATCGTGTCGTTCAATGGCTAGTTGCCACTCTTCGTGTGTCATCCATGGGTGATGTTTATCTGTTCGTCCGATCTCACGTCAACAAGAGGCTGGGCTGCTTCACGCACTACAACACTACAAGGTACAATGGAACATCGTCCTTATCTTCGTCAAAACTTCTCACTGCATCGAGACCTGGACAGGGTTTCCCAAAATAGGAAGGCCCGCAAGTCACTCTCGTACGTCTCGTTTGGGGAACGGGCCATGGGCCCACAGCCATAGCCGACATAAGGATGACTGCATGAGTCTCAGTCGCTATGCGGAGAAGCGGCACAGCAACTGACGTATCCGACTTCAGAGTCAAGTATTCACATCCACAGGAGTGCATCGGAAACTTAGGTAGCGGAAACTGCCAAAGAGAACACCTTGCTATCGTAGAGTAAGTTGGGTCTCATCGGTGCAACCTGACGCTGACTGATCTTACGCTATTCACAGCTTCATCACCATGGAATGATAAATCGCTGCCTGAAATGTGCAGCGTGGCGATAGCAGCTCTTGAACCCATTTATACTAGGCGCTTTACGCATGTAGCTAGTATATCCGAAGCCAATGAGATTTTGCGCTACTGTAAAGATTTCCCTGGGCGCCAGCGTCGCGGCCGCAGCCGCACGGGACGTTGGCACCGTGGTTGGCAGCCTCTTTCGGGAGCTAGAACAGCCTACTCAACACGAGAAACGCCATCCTTTGAAAATATCGCACACCTTCAGGGCTAAACCCCAGTCAAACTGGGGCATTTTTGCCTCCTTGGGGTGGACTGCTGTCTTTTCGTCGATACGATGTGTTCAACGACCCTGCGATATGACGGGGTTCGAGCACAGCTGCGAAACAGCGTAGACTCTTAAGCCATGACACCGGCAAGAATTACGGCTGTCAAAAGGTCAACGTGAGGCCCCTCTATACTATTGAAGCACGTTTTCTCGAGATTCGGGAGGGCGCCGGAGTAGTGATTGATATCGAATCAGCGTGATAATGCCTGAATACGTTATGATCTGCCGCTGGCTTTCATCACATGTACCATGACCTTGTAGTCCGTGTAAATGAGACTACTGCCAGCGTCGCGCTCCCAAACAAACCCGTCCTGACCCAGCTGCTGAAAGTCATATTTCCAAAGCAATTTTCCAACAATAAGTCGGATGCTCTGCTGCGCCATCTCCCTACCGATACATGCCCTACTTCCAATGAGGAACGGACGATAAGCGGCCCTGTTGTCCCCCTTGAACTCAGTATCTTCCGCACCATCGAGCCATCTCTCCGGGCGGAAGACGGCAGGATCTGCGAAATACTCCGGCGACCTTTGGATTGTGTAAAGATCAGCGGAGACTGTGGTACCGGCAGGGATGTGCACCCCATCTATGGTGCATGAGGGAGCAGTACGCTGCGCCGTTTTGCCGTTTGCGGGTGGAAGCAACCTCAAAGTCTCCCGGATACAGGCGTTCAGGAATGGCAGCCTGCCAAGGCGCGCTCCTGTGATTTCTTCGTCACTGGCAAAGGTCGAGCGGATCTCGAAGCAAACTCTGTTATACGCCTCAGGATAGCGCAAGATGTGGTAGAAAGTGGCGGACAGTGTCGTAGCTGTTGTCTGGTATCCGGCCAGCCTGCGGTATCTCTAAGCAGATGTCGCATTGAGGGAATTGGTTTGTACATACGTCAGGCCCATGGCATTACTGAAGAATGCGTCCGCGTCGAGCGTCAGGTCCTGCTTCTCGCTGCCCATGATAGCGGTGAGGAAGTCTTCTCTTCCGTCTTGCCTTTCGGCGCAGCTGTTCAAAATTCGTATTAGATTACTGGAATGATCAAGAGGTTTGCAGAAATACTCACTCGCGCAACTTCGAAGACGGCACAAGCTTGGAGAGTTGCGACGGAAACGGCAATGCTGTGATGAGGCATCTAGCAATCCCAAGTATTGGAGCAATTCCAGGCAGGGCGAGGAAAAAGCTCAAGGCTTCAACCATGGGCATCGTTGATTTACCAAGCTGCTTCAATGACTCGTAAGTAGCTGGGACGCCTTGTTAGCATTATTTCTGACGGCATATCCAAGGCACCGCTTTCAACTTACGGCGCTTCCCAGACATGAGAGGTTCACCGAAAGCGAGATCACCAATGATCTCCCAGAACATCGTCTCCAACGTGTCAGCGATGTCCACGGTACCGCCGCTCTTGGCAAGTTCTTCGAATTCGGACATGGCCATGTCAATATGCAGCTTTTGGATGGGTTCTTGCCTTGCAAGCGCTTGAGGGGTGAAGGCTTGCTGGATCACCTTGTGCAGTTTCCTGTGAAGTGCAGGGTCAGGTATGGTGATGAGGGTCGGAGCGTTCAATACGAGGTCCGAGAAAAGCGTCAAGAAGGTCCCATCCTTGGAAAAGCGACCATCCTCTTGTTTCGCGTAAATTGCTGTTTCCGCTTCAAGTGAAGCAAATGAGACTTCGTTGGGTCCGACTCGCACCACACGTCCTGGAACAGACGGATCACGTCAGTCGAACAGATTTGGTCGTTGATGCTGAGGGCCTTACCGTATTGTTGATGAAGAGCTTGCAGTTCCGAGTTGAACCGCATGCGGTGCAGAGCCCTCATAATCCATAGCTGTTCTCATGATTTAATCATCGCTCGCGTACACTTTGAAGAGAAGTGACCAACCGGAGAGAATTTGGCCAGAAATGGGCCAGGAATGCGGCGGAGAGGATGCAAGAAGCAGCCATAGATAATGACTGACACGAAGGCCAGCGCCAACTGGAAGAGGAAAGAATGTCAGAACAGTAGCCATTTTGATCGCTTCTACAGATCATGACATACGATAACTAATGCAAGACTCAATTGCTGTCCCATACTCCAAGTCGATAATGGTGAGGTGAAGGCCATGGGGTAGGTCCGTGACGGTCGTCAGTGCGGAAGCAAGACCGGATGGAGCTGGGCTGAGATGGGACGTCAGTTCTTGAGATCGATTTCAAAACCCATACGTACGGTTGGTCTTTGCGAGCTCTCCCGGGACCTCGGCTCTGTAAATGCTACCTAGTGACATATCAAAAACTGAAGGGGGGACTGGGGATAAAATTCAGGGACACTGATTCACGGCGGAGCAATATCAGAGGCTACCGAAGCGAGGCGGGCCTCTGAAATCCTTTCTTTTTTCCCCTACCACCCCCTCCCTTTGCAGGCTTTGAATCCTTTGCCCGAGCTTCATACTAGCGCTTACGAGCATGGGTGTTTAACAAACGGAACCAGACAGGTTCATACTTTCCCATGATTCTGTTCACGTCCAGAAAATGACAAAATCAGGGTCCACTACACAGAGTCACCGATCTCTATTGGCACGCGTCTTCGCGCTTCGAATATGTGGGACACACCCCTGCCAGCCCTTATCACGTAAGCGCCTGAAGTCTGCATGTAAGTTTACGTAGTATTGAAGTCCCAGACCCCTACCTCCACAATGAAGTCAACTACCCTGCATTGCGATGGTGATGGTGTCTCGTTATCGGCTAAGCCCACCGAGACCTAAATCACCCACATGCCAGGCCCAGAACGTGGGCTTATCTCAGCCTATTCGGTAGCAGCTGTTGACGCGGCAGACAACTATCAACCAAGTCGAGCAAGGTAACAGGATAATGCTAGTATCTAAACTCGAAGAAAGCACAACAAGGTGGTTGGCTCTGCTGCCCTCATATATTCATTTCATCTTCGGACACGGGTAATTGAACTTTTGCGAAGCATTTCATCCTGCTTTTACCAATTATGGGTCCCTTACTGTATCAATCGAGACACGTACCGGCGGAGGAAGCTCGAGAGACGGGTTGCTTTACAACCCTTCCGATCCGAGTTCATCCACGGGACGACCTCGCTGATGCAGCCAGCCGGCGGTTTGTCGGGGACTGGGCCAGGGAAATGGGAGATGGCCGAGAGAAAAAGACTTGCTTCTCTTTTTCGCCTGTAGGCAACTGGTCTTCTCTCATTTACCCTGAAGCCATTCCCGAGCGTCTGGGAGTCTTGGCATATCTTTCAGATTTGGGTTTGATTCATGACGGTAAGTCTTGCCTTCCAGATTCATATCCGTGATATGAAAGTTGACAAACTTTCAGACACTGGGGAGGGTCTCAGCATCGAGGAAGCGCAAGCCGAGCACAATGAGCTTCATGCTGCCTTGAACCCAGACGACAAGAGCAGTCTGGATCCTGACTCAAGGGCAATGAAGACCAAGAAGCTCGTTTCACAGTGCATGCTCGAGTGTATCAACCTCGACCATGAGCTTGGGTTGAATATGCTCGCTGCCTTTCGTGATGTTTGGCTCGCTATCAGCGAGAAGAACAGCGACAAGGAGGCACAGACATTGGAAGAATATCTCCAATACCGCAGTGACAACGGCGGCATGCTGTAAGCAAATCCTCTCCTCATCTCCTAAATCAAACCTAACCAGCCCCTAGAGTTTTCTGGCCAATGCTGCAATTCAGCTTGGGCATATCCCTCTCGGAAGCGGAGCACGAGCTCGTGCAGCCCATCATTGACGCGGCCACTGAAGGTCTTTTACTGGCGAATGACTACTTCAGCTGGGAGCGCGAACTGAGAGAACTCCAGTCCGGTCAGTCTAAGAGGATCGTGAGCGCCGTGGAGCTGTTTGCCCGAACAATGGGACTTTCGGTTGAGGATGCCAAGGAGGCGGTCAAATCCAGGATCATCAAGTCAGAAAATGATTTCTGTCAACGCCGCGATGATCTCTACAAAGCTCAACCCAAAATATCATTGAAGTTGAGAAGATGGATTGATTGCGCTGGCCTAGCGGTCTCAGGAAACCACTATTGGTGTTCTGCTTGTCCGAGACAAAACGCGTGGAAGAACGAAACACTCTCAAATGGCCAGAACGGCCAAGGTATTGATCGAATTCACAACGAAAACGGGTTCAAGACTGTGCCCATCACTAATGAAACTGCTACCAATCTTCAAAGCAACGACATCGAGATTCTCTCGAACGGTAACGGGGGTAACGCCATCATCAACGGAAACGGTGTCAAAACTGTTGCCAATGGCAACGGAGTCAAAAGAAAACTCTCACAGTACGGAATGGCAAGTCCAGAACAAGAACCATGTGTTCGGAAAAAGAGAAGCAGGGACATAGATGTTTTATGTCAAAACCACGACATTCAAACGGTCTCCCAGTACGCCTATTACAAACCGTCCAACCTGGCCATGGATGCGCCGGCAGTCTACATCTCAGGAATGCCTTCCAAAGGTGTCCGCGGCACCTTGATTGATGCTCTCAACACCTGGCTACACGTGCCTTTAGCAGCGGTCAAGACAATCACGTCAGTTGTAAACCTGTTGCACAATGCATCACTCATTTTGGACGACCTGGAAGACAACTCTCCACTCAGGCGGGGGCTCCCATCAGCCCACGTCATCTTCGGGCAAGCCCAGTCCATCAACAGCGCAAACTTCATGTTCGTCAGAGCAGTACAGGAAGTAGCTCAGAGTCTCAGCCCAGCTGCGATGACAGCAGTGCTTGAAGAGCTTGAAGGCCTCTACCTCGGGCAAAGCTGGGACCTGTACTGGAAGTTCAACCTGGCATGCCCTACCGAGGCCGAGTACGTCAACATGATTGACCACAAGACCGGCGGCATGTTCAGAATGCTGCTACGGGTCATGCAGGCCGAGAGCACAGCTACGGAAACGCCAGGCCTCGACTTCGAGCGGCTGACTCTGCTTTTCGGGCGCTTCTTCCAGATACGCGACGACTACATGAACTTCGGAGACTACGCGGCCCAAAAGGGTCTCTGCGAGGACCTTGACGAGGGCAAGTTCTCGTACCCCATCGTCTACTGCCTCGCCAACCACCCAGAATATCGCGGGCACATCCTTGGCGTGTTCAGGCAGCGACCGACGGTAGCCACGACTACCGCTTCTCCGCTTTCCAAGGAGAGCAAGGCGCATCTGGTGAGCTGCTTACGCAAGTGTGGAGCGTTTGAGAAGACGCTCGACTGCTTGCGGGACGTTGAGCGGGAGCTGGAGTCGGAAATCGACCGACTGGAGCATTTGACGGGAGAAGCCAACCCCATGCTCCGCCTGTGCCTTGCAAAGCTAAGCACAAAGGGGATTGCCACGTTGGGATAGATAGACGAGTTGGATGGATCGCGGATTTGTGACACATGCTGTGTGACGACCCCTCTATTGGTCATTTTCTTCGTGTTGGATGTCGATACAACGTTGATTTAGCGCTTACAGCATATGTCTCTCGTTATCCTATTGAGAAATACCATCCTATCTTTCGCTTCAGACAGAATTATTTCGACGTGGCCCGTGAACGCCACCATGCTTAGCTAGCAGGATAAACCCGCAAACAGCTCTGGTCCATACACCGCCGTCATTGGACCCGTTTGCGCGGCGAAGGATGCGCCAAATTCAGAATCCTTCAGGGGTCGGGCCGTTGGAGAAAGGACTACTGCACGTTAGATCCTAATGACACCCATCTGCATCGCGTGGAAAGCAGCGAGATCCTCCTACCCCTGCAGGGTTACACACGGGGCGGGCCCGACTCCCGCTCCACCTTCATAGACACTCTGGCTTGATAGGGCGAGACCGGTCTTTCCAAGGGGATGCAACTAGGACTCATGGAACGAACACATGTGGCGAAGGGCGTGAAGCTTACATGCAGGTCAGCAATCAAATCCAGCGTCTACAGGAGAGCGTCATGCCCAGTCTTCGAATGCATCTGCTGGGATCGGACGGGGCGGCTTTCGACCATGACCTCTTCTTGCCTACTTAAGCCTGAGAATCGTGGGCTGGAACAATGGGCAAGTAATTAGAAGCAGATTCTTCTGGGAAGAAGCAGGGAGGCAGATTCCGATATTACGCCCACGATACACCGAATATTATTGGCCCAACTGTCGTCATTTTCCGGTATCCAGAATCCTTGGCTTTGCCGCGTCGGACCAAACGATAATGCGCCAATCATTGACCTTGACTTGGACCTGCGTCCTCCTCGCTCCCCTTGTGGCGAGCCAAGGCCTCATAGCAGACTACAATTCATGCCAGAGTGCGGTACGTACAGCTTCACCGTCTAGACGGTCAGTCACACTCCCCTGACACCGACAGTGCGTTTTACTATCTAGTCAGCTATCCGTCGAGTCGGTTAGCGACTATATTGCAGAGTTCGAGCAGCAGCCTATCACTGGGGCGGAAGCTGACGTCGGGTCTCTGTACTGGTCGCAGCAGCAGCAGGCCGTCCGGCCGGCATGCCTCGTCCACGCCCGTGAGGCCCAGGACGTCGCACTCGTCGTGCAGACGTCGCGCTCCACGGGGTGCCCCTTCGCCGTCCGCGGGGGCGGCCACTCGGACATTCCCGGATTCAGTAATAGTCATGGTGGGATCACCGTCAACATGGCCGGTTTAGGCGATGTCGAAGTAGCCGCGAGTGCCGGCGTAGCTCGAATAGGAGCGGGCGCAAAGTGGGGGGCGGTCTTCAAGGAGCTTGATAAGTCGAACAAGACTGTTGTTGGGGGCCGACTGACTGGGGTTGGTGTTGGAGGATTGCTTCTGGGCGGTGGGCTTAGCCACTTGTCTGGACTACATGGGTTGGCGTGCGACAACGTTCGCAACTACGAGGTAAGTCGGGACCGGGATCGCAATGCGAGACCCCACGTTTGCCACACGAGAGGCTGACGTGATACCAGATTGTCCTTGCCAATGGCAGCATCTTCGACGTCTCGCACTCCAGCCACCCGGATCTCTACCGAGCGCTTCGCGGTGGTGGCAACAACTTTGGAGTCGTTACCCGTTTCGATCTGGACTTGTATGATCAAGGCCCCATGTGGGGGGGCCTGCACGTCTGGCCGTTGCTACCATCCGTGACATCGGCCATCACGTCAGCCTTCGTAGAATTCGGACACGACGCCCCGTCAGACAAGCATGTCTCATTGTTTGCAGGGCTCGGGTTCATGCAGGGCAACTTCGCCTGGGCTGTGGGGCAGTATGACACTCTCGGAAGAGAGGAACCTCCCATCTTTTCCAAGTTCAGAGACGGCGCCGAGAGGTATGGGGCTCCCAAGGTTGTCACAACGGCAAGAGTCACGTCACTATCGGACCTTGCTGGAGAGCTGAATCTTTCAGAGCCCGCGGGCAAGCGGAGCCGGTTCACGACAGCCACCTTCAGGATGGATGTGGATCTGCTTCGACTGATGGCCGGCTTCTTTGTGGAAGAGGTCGAAAGGGCTCTGGAGAATGGCTTACGTGAAGACGAACGCTTTGCGCCAATGTTGGGCATTCAACCCCTGACGAAGAACATTATCGGGGCACAATCCAAGCGCGGAGGAAATGTGATGGGTCTCGATGAAGAATCTGGACCGCTCATTGGTAAGTCTGATCTCTTCTACTATAACGGAGATGTTTCTTGTGGGCTGATACATGTGACTTCCAGTCTGTTCTTTTGGCTGGGAATGGTCTCGTGAGGCAGACGATGCTGTCGTGATTACCGGCATCAAGAGCGTTCTTGAGAAATCCGTAGCCGCGGCGAAGGAGAAGGGTTTGTATCATCCTTTCAAGTACATGAACTATGCTGCGGAAGACCAGGATCCTGTCGCAAGCTATGGAGCTGAAAACGTTGAGTTCTTGAAAAAGGTCAGACACACCTACGACAGCGACGGACTGTTCACGGAGCTAGTGCCTGGTGGCCACAAGATCAAATGATGATTTTTCGGGGGCTATAATCATTGCATATAGTCTATGAACATTACAATAAACCCTCATATCTAGAACAATACACTAGACTGCCCAGTTATGAATGCGGTCAACCAGACTCAACTCCTGTTTTCGACCATAGTGTTCAGCATATAATAAGTGGGCGACATTGGCAGCGCTGGAAAAGCGGTCACAAGTCCAGGTGCGACCAAATCGTTCACAAATCCTGTACCAAGTATGGTCAAAGCAAGGAAAGTCCACGCAAGTCCAACAATACGCCACCAGAATCCACGCCATCCGAGTTTCTCCTGGGCAAACTGAATGATCAGATCTTCCAAGAGGAGAATGTTAGGCATCAACAGAAAAAAGGTGAGAGTTCTTGTGAAAGACTCGGACGGAGCTGCCATCTTTGCTGCTGCCCAGTGGTACAGTCCAGACAGGGCGAATGCGCAGGAGGATTGGGTTTGCCGACTGAGCATAGACCCTCTAGGTGCTCTGACGACTCTCCTGGCCACGAATCTGCTAGGGATTTGCAGGCCCCTTCGAAAGTTCTGGTGCCACGTGCGGTTCCAGAATCTGCTCAGGGTGTAGCACTCGACCCAAGGTCCGTTTACCGGGTGGACGTCTTCGATGCGCGTCCAAAAAAGCCCGGACGACACCCCGATCATGCAAGCGATGTGATATCCGATATCCATAACGGCAATTGACGAGGCCCACCAGCAGGCTGTAGCGATGCAACGGGGGACGAAGTCTAACTCAACGACGCCCATTTTCCCATCATGAGTCAGCCACAGAAGAAGACCGGCAGCAATATCATGGCTCATGTATTGCTGCAGTATTCTTTGCATCGATAGTCTGAGGAAGGCGGGTTTGGAGGTGCCTGGAGCAGGAGCTGGAGGTAGAGGTGCAGTCCGCCAGTTCCATCCAATACCTCTGGTGGAAAAGGCATTGTCAAAACACCATCTTATCCGTTCCCATGCACCGAGAGAGTGGAAAGGCTGTTGGGGTTTCTTCCCATCGCTTGTGGGTTGTGTCCACCTGTGCTCCAAGTAAGGGTCTTCGAGCACAAGAAGATTGAGGTTGACCAACGCGACGTAAAAGACTAAGAGACAATGCTGTTAGAATCTCAGCTTGATGAAACGTTCTGTCTGGTGCCCAACCTGTTCCAAAGGTGTAATTCTTTGCAATATCCGGGCCAAAGGGAAAAGCAAAAGCCACAAGCACACAAACCCCCACGAACGGGATCAAAAGGATCCAGCGCAGATGTCTCGGGATTTTGGAGCCCAACAAAACCAGAATAGGGGTAGTGAGCCATATGGCACCAACGAAATCGGCACGTTCCAGAGGCATTGCGACGAGCTTGAATAACGTGACAGGCTGCCTCAGTCGACAGTACAGTACAGGTGTAATGTTTGATGGTATCTGAGAATTGTTGCTATCTGACTTTGGACGATTGTTCTTCACGTTCTAAGGAAAGACTTCAGCCCAGTCTCCCTGGCCAGCTGGTGCGCTTCCCACTCGGTATCTCGGCAACTAGCTTCATCGATCCTCAGCTTGGATACGAGGCATGCCGAGAGATGCAGGCCAAAGCCAAACATACGATGTCATTACCTGACGCAGATTAGCTGCTGCCTGTAGGCCGGATGGGACGACGTTGATAAGGCACTACGACCCTCGGTGGAGGGTTTCCGGGCAAGACGGCACCAATAGTGCGGGCCGCCCGCACTATTGGCACGCCTGCCTAATCGGGGCATGTGGCAATGCAACGCCGACAGCGCTGACCCACCCCGTCGGCGGGCCCCACATAACCCGAATCCTTCCGTTTGGGATTGTGGAGCAGACGGATCGGCCCAGCCCACTGCATCCACCTGCAGATCGCCCACTTAACCGACGCAGGGCTCCATCCCACTTCGCAGACACCTCAGTGCCGTGCAAATAGCATCTCCATAACCTCAATACACCTTACCTTACCTTGAATATCTCTGCGTTAGGGCTTACTAAGGGCTCGGTTACAGCTCTGGCAGCAAGCCTTGGCCTTATCGGGCGGTTAGGGTCAGTTACCGACGAATCCGAGGGCCTGTAATCGGCGCTGATGACCTGGAGCATTGTCTCCATCATCAACCCCTGTGTACAAGGGCAAACCCCCATTTTTAGACTGGTCAGACTTCTACGCAATCTTGGCCCCGGCTTATGTGAGACAATACTGGGCTGCATGCTCCGACTTGCTGTGGGGTTTTGGTCCCAGCATTCAAGCTCAACATGTGAACGGGTTCAAGACGAGCTTGCTATCGACTCAAGACGACTTATTGTAGAGCGACAAAAGCTTGCAGCATGTCACCGTGGCTAGATACCATATCCGTTACATAGGGCTCCTCAGCTACTCTTTGTCTCTTCTGAAGAAAGGAGATTGAGCCAATATGTCGATATTCGTCGTTCCTGTCGAGACGGCCAGGCCATTGGTGGTGCTGGCGGCAGCGGCTCTCATCGTGTTTCCCATCATCTATTTTCTCTGCCTCACTGTTTATCGCCTTTTCCTCAGCCCAATCTCTCACTTTCCGGGCCCAAAGCTAGCAGCATGGACATACTGGTATGAATTCTGGTACGATGTGGTTGCCGAGCCCGAGTACACCTTCAAAATTGGTAGATTACACAAGCAATATGGTCAGTGTTCATCTTTGCCAACATGGAAATCGAGGGAGTCAAAATGAACTAATACCCGACCAGGCCCTATAGTCCGTATCAATCCAGACGAGATTCACATCGCGGATCCGGACTTCTACAACACCATCTACGCTGGCAGCGGACGCAAGCGTGACAAATGGGACTGGATCACCCGGTCTTTCGGCGTCGACGAGAGCTTGATCGGCACTCTTGGCCATGATGAGCACCGCATCCGTAGGGCGGCGCTGTCGCCGTACTTCTCCAAGCAAAGCGTTCGCGCCCTGCAACCCCTTGTGGACCGGAATATGGGAATCCTCCTCGGACGCTTCCGCGAGTTTGCCCAGTCCGGAGCCCCTCTGAAACTTGATGATGCCTATGCTGCGCTCACCAACGGTCAGAACCCTCAACTAAATGCCGATAATGTATTTGCGTACTAAGACTAGATCTCCAGATATCGTCGAGGACTATGCTTTTGGAAAAAGCGAGGACCGCCTCCAGGCCGCGGACTTTGATCCTTCTTTCAGAGATGCCATGCTTCAAGGCGGCAAAGCCGGTCATGTCCTGAAGCACTTCCCCTCGCTGATGGATATGCTCCGCAAGCTGCCCGACTCCCTGCTGCTCAAGCTGAGCCCGGCCATGGGCGCCTACTCCCAGCTCCAGACCAGTGTGAAGAAACAGGTGGCCGATATCACACAGGCACACCAAATGCACGCGTACGACAAGACGCGCCGCACCATCTTCCACGAGATCCTGAACAGCAAGCTCTCCGATTACGACAAGTCCACGGACCGGCTCTGGCAGGAGGGCGAAGTCGTCGTCGCGGCGGGTACCATCACCACGGCCTGGGCGCTCGGCGTCTCGACGTACTTCGTCCTCGCCACGCCCGACATACTCTCGCGGCTCAAAGCCGAGCTCGAGGCCGCGATCCCCGATCCATCGCAGCCCCTCAGCTTGCTCGTGCTCGAGCGTCTTCCCTTCCTGACGGGCGTGGTGCAGGAGGGCGTCCGTCTTAGCCATGCCATCTCGCACCGGCTGCACCGCATCTGCCCGGACGAAACGCTCGTATACCGCGCCGGTGATCGCGAATGGCGTATCCCCCCCGGTACTCCCCTCAGTATGACCAGCAACCTGGTGCACCATGACGAGCGCGTCTTTCCCGACTCTCACACCTTCAAGCCTGAGCGCTGGGTAAACGACCCCCTGCTGGACCGCTATCTAGTGTCCTTCGGCAAGGGTGGTAGAGCTTGCCTGGGTATCAATCTGGCATATGCAGAGCTCTACCTCACGCTGGCGGCACTTTTTAGGGTTTACGGGACGGAGGAAGTTCAAGGGAAAGATGATGTCGGAACCTTGAAGCTCTTTGAGACGACCGCTGCTGATCTTGTTATCACGAGCGATACTGTGGTTCCTGTGATGCCGGAGGATTCCAAGGGGTTGAGGGTGACGGTACATCAGCGACCTGAGTAGGTGGCCGCGGTCTCCTGGACTCTCAGTTTTATGGTCGGGACAGGGTATCGAGAATAACCTTACCGACCTCTGAGCTGTTCCGGATCATGTAAAAAGCAGCCTAGTAGGAACCTCTCCAATGTAACGGAAAGACTTCCATCTTGATTGCGAAGATGACTGCCCTTGCAGACTCTTCTCATGGGGGAAGTCATCGACTTACACGCGCACCTTCAAGAATATCCCTTTCAAGTCAAGACATGCCTGTAGCGGGAAGACACTCAAAGGTGCTCCATTTCATCATGCTGAGCGGTCTGCTGAAACAAGTCGTTTTATTTGCCTGTAAACTAGTTTGAGGAGTCGCGTCGCTTGCTTAACTTGAAGAGCGCTCTCACGAAGGCTAACATAGGGGCTCTTGGATATAGGGTTTATTAGCCTGCTCCGCTTGCTGCTTAGCAGTAGAAGGGGAGTTCACGACAAAAGAGGAGCTTGGAAGCCTTCATCTTCAACCATGAGCAGCAGAACGATTCTCGGAGTCCACAGACGACTTCCGTCAAGTCGCAGCCTACGCCCGCCCGCCTAGAAAAGTTTGTCCCATGCCAGAGGCCTCCCTGCGAATGTTAACATTGACCTATCTCGCGTCGTGGAGCAAATGATTAAAACTCAGTTTCAACCCAAATTATCACATCGAATGTGCCCGAGTCCATTTATGACGGTCCTAGGTCCAAGCCTGGGCACTCGTTGGGGTCGGCATAAAAGACAGCTCCCATCACCTCCGTAGCCCGACACTTTTGGTCCATCATCAAGGCGTTTCCAATGCCAAACGGGTAGACTTTGTCAGTGGACACCTTCAAGGCCCAGACCCCGCCGGTTGTCGGCCACCCAAAAACCTCGATGAACCTCTCGGCGGCCTTATTGGCCTCTTCAGCCGCGAAGAACTTTTCCTTGCCAAGCTCCGTGGCTTTCTAATGGCGGTCCTGAGGATCGTCGTGTGGGGTGGTCTTCAGGTGGCAGTCCCAATCGCTTTTGTGAAATTTGGCACCTAGTCTGCGCATGTGGCGCAGTGGGTATCTTCGTCTGCTGAGTCGTCGCTCCACGGTGTTGGGACTAGTCGGTCAAGGCCAAGGAACTCGAGTTCGACGCCGTCACAAAGCAACGTGTAGAAGCCTGCGGTGCTAGGCCACCCATATACCATCGTATAGGATGGAAAGAAGTTGGTGCGAAATCGTGCATTCTCGATGGAAGGCTCCATTCGGAAGCTTTCAGGGTCATCGCCGGCATCATCGTCCACAACCTCAAATTTGGGGTCGCCGTTGGTATGCATAGACTCCGTAGAGGCCGAGCCAGGCTGACTTGACGCTGTCGCGGAGGATCGGAACAGGCTTCTGGCAAAGAACATGGTAACCACAGGGGGAAGATAAGTCGAAATTATAATGTTGGAGAGAGTGTTGATTTCGAATGTGTTCAGGTTTGAGTTACATATGGTGTGGTTGTGGTTGCCTGTTGGCATTTCGACTGAGGTGGATTCAGGCTCTGCTGACATAACCAACAGGCAAATCGTGACTTGAGAAGAGCGGGCTGTCACAAAGAGAAGACTAGAGAGAGGCCATTGGGACGGGAAAGTAAAGCAGGAAGACGCTTGGGATTCTCCACGAACTCAACCTTGTGGAGCGGCGGCTGAGCCAGAATGTGTTCTTCACTTGTAGAGTAGTTTACAATAGAACACTTCAAATACTTCTTGATGATCAATATCTACCTTGACTTGTGATGATTTGCAATCCTTCTTTGACTCAAACATCTGCATAGTTGCAAGAACGTCACAACTTTGGGCGAAAACTCCTCTCAGAATCTAGTACTCCTAGTGTCTCCCTCGCTTGTGCGTTCAATCTCCTCCACATATCCTTTCGACGCTGGTGACCTTGCATAAACCTTTCAAACCAGAACTTGTTGAAAGGCAGCAGCTCTCGCCCTTTGTTGTCTGCCGTGGGTGGACCAGCGATTCTTCTCAACTCCTCAAGGTATTCTTCGAAGTCTGGAAATACGAGCGCAAACTTCGGCCCGTCACCGCGCTTAGCGATACGGTCTGCTTCCCAAGCGAGCTGGGCTTCCGGTGATGGGAGGCGAGAGGATGGGACACGGCCTGCGAGCAGTCGGGCGGCGAGAACGGCTTGGTATTCGAAGATCTTAAATGTGAGACCTGCGTTGACGGCACCGACGAAGAGTATTGTAGGGTCCGGGGTGTAGATTGTGTGGAGGTATAGATTCGGGATGCGGTTGTTGCGAGGGGTGGGAACTGGAGTGCGTTTGGCTGTGGTCAAAGAGCCGGACGACTGTCGCGTGAAAAAAGGCAATGTCCAGCTGTAACCCGTGCCGAATATGATGTCGTCTACACCAGAAGCAGACGATCCGTCTGCGAAGTGAACAGTCCGAGTGGTCGGTTCGATGTGGGATATGGAGGCGACTTGCTTGATCAGGGGGTGGTTGAAAGCCTCATCACCAAAGTAGCCGTTGAACGTATGTCCCTTGACCACGGCATACACAGGTGCCTGAGCCACCTGGGCCAAATCAAAGGCGATATCTCCTGCTGAGACGGAGGCGCCGACTACCACAACCTTCTTGCCCTTGAACGCGTCCCGACCTCGAAAGTGCTTGCTGTGAATTACGCTTCCCAGACGATCTCTGGCAAACTCGGATAGACCGTCAATGGATGGGATATAGGGCACACTGTAATGCCCGGATGCCACAATCACGGCATCAAATCTCTCCTCCCACCAGTAATCAGTGTTCTCACCGTCTTTGCGTAGTGTCAGCTTCCACTCCTCACCGGAACCGTTTTCTGCATGCACCTTTTCTGCTCGTTCGACGGTAGTATTGTAGCTGATGAAATCGCCATATCCCCTTCGGTCGACTAGAGAGCGGACGTAGTCCTGGACTAAGGACCAGTGTCGGAAAGGCGTATCTTCTCCGTGAATTGATCTTGAGTGTTCGGATTGCTGAGCTGGGAACGGTTCCTGAGTGTACTGCATAGGGACGAAGTCTACATTCGTCTCGAGGTATGGGTAGACTGTGGATTCGGAGTACCGCGGCGAGGGAGACTTGGGTAGTTGAGCGGGGAGATTGGGGGGAATCGCTGGCAGCTGAGGGTCTGCCTTTCTGGCGGAGAGAAGATTGAGCTCATCTGGTTGAATGAGTGGCGGTGGTTTCTTTTCACCTAGCCTGTAGATATTGTCAGTACGAGTGACGGCTCCGTCTGTGATGGACTGTGTAGGCGGGGCTCCAGCTTTCCAACCCAGCCCTCGCGCAGAGATGGACCCAAACTCACCAGCATCCTCCAGGAGCCTCACGACGCTCAAAAATCCGGACGATGTCGAATGCCTGCTCTTTGGCAAGGGCATCGATTGTGATGGCACCAGCTGGGCCGAGGCCAATGACTGCAACGCGCTTGGCGGGCTTCCTTCCTTTCGCCATCTCTACAAACTTGCAGCGTCGGGATTGAGTGGATGTACGGTGAGAGTCTGGTCATTTAAGACACTCGAAGATTGATTTCCTGGCGTCTTATGAGTGAATAGTAGTGGTGAGGCGGCTATCGGAGGGATTTGCCATGAACTGTAGCCCCACACAGACCTTCTCGTCGGGATTCAATCCTACGAACTTGGACTCGTAGGTCGATGGCACACTCCGCAGAACCCCTACTCTGTCGGTCACCGCCACCTCTCTGTACGTATTGTTTTCTCTTAATTTTGCTGTATACGTAGAGGCGGGCAATTCCGGATAATCGATACAAACGGCTTTTACCTTGCAGATGGGGCCCGGTATTGGAGAGCCAAACAATCAAGCAAACAAGCAAACACAAAAAACCAAGGACGAGGAGGTGGTTTCAGCTAAACGGAACTTTTCATGTTCAATGAGATTTTTCGAGGGCTTATCTCACGTCCAAATTTTAGACTCACGCCATCTATCTTCCACCATATAGAGGTTCAAATCCCGATAACATTCAGTACTGAATAAATAGCTCGGGATTTGTCTTGGCGCGATGGTGAAAGATTGCGTGCTCGGTAGGATGGTAGTGATAGCCATTAGACTGCAGACCAAAAGTGGAGAAGCTTCAACAACATCCAGCCATCGGTCGGGAAGTCTAACTGAATCAAAGTGAGTTTGCCGGCATGGCACATCTTTAGATTGCGGTTTGGGGGCGATTGCGTGATGTTCCCAAGACTGTGGCACCGGAATGTCCTTCAAAATGCAAGGATGGATTGGAATAACACTCGTACACGAAGTATCAATATGCCTGGGGTTCCGTGAAGCTAAAGATGGCGTGAAGGATAGCCTCTGAGCTCCAAATGCCGAAATGAGAGGTTCGATGAGAAGGATCTGCCTTTGAAAACATGACCAGACCCCTTTCGCCGGGAAAAAAGATAACAGTTTCAGTTTCACTCGTCTTGTCACCTTGTGCACACGACAAAATGAGTGAGTCGAAGCAGGAAAGCCTGCAGTCTATTGACTCGCGAGGGCAAGTGACACCAGGTATTGAGCCTGACTGGACGCGTCATGAGGAAATAAGAGCTCGCCAAAAGTGAGTTGACACATGGAAGGAAGAGAACTCACCGAGACAGGTTTGCTGACATTACCGCTGGTAGAATCGATAGCTCGGTGCTTCCACTATTGTACTTGGGCCTGCTTGTTTTTCAACTTGACCGCATGAATCTTGCAAGTGCGCTCACCGGCGGGTTCGCGAAAGACATCGGGGTAAATCAGGACACAATTAATCTGGGAAACCAACTGATGTTCCTGGGAATTGTCATCTTGGAAATTCCCTCAAACATGCTCTTGCAAAAGGTAAGTGTGGTCTAGGTACAGATACGCAGGACTCTTATGTTCCTTCAGAGGCCACTGACAGATTGAAAATCAGATTGGGCCGCGCAAGTACATCTCTAGCCAAGTAATTCTGTTTGGTTTCGTCGCAACTATGCAGGTGTTTCTCGTCGACCGCAAGGGTTTCTTAGCTTCGCGTATGATGCTCGGCCTTGCAGAGGCGGGCTACATTCCAGGGGCTTGCTATACCCTCTCGACTTGGTATACAAAGAAAGAACTAGCGAAACGCATCGCAATCTTGTTAGTGCCATCAGAATATCGAATCATACCTTTTCTGACTTCTGAAAGCTTCTTCGGAATGTTCAGTGGAAATGCTTTGAGCCCTATACTGGCTTCTGGTATCCTCAAGCTCGAAGGCGAACGTGGTCTGCGTGGCTGGCAGTGGCTTTTCCTAGGTAGGTGCCCGAACGGCATATATTTACATGATTCGAGCTTACTGAGATTAAACTAGTCGAGGGCGTCTTTACCATCTTTGTTGGGCTTTCTCTGCTATTCCTTCTGCCCGGTTCCCCAGATATCCCTGATCCGCTGTTGAGCCCAGGCCTCATCCGATTCAAAGGCTCAGAGAAGAGTATCATACAAAGACGCCTAGAGATAGATGACAAAGAGAAGCGTGGAGGTGCTCAAGGAATGAGAATTCCTCCAAAGCTCGTATGGAAGACCGTCCTGCATTGGAAACGCTGGCCACACTTTCTGAGCAGCTTTGCCGTCTTCTCCACGTGGAGCCCTCTCACCACTTATACACCTACCATCATTATGTAAGTCTCGAGTAAAGTCTTAAGTAGACTAATTTGATATATTTCATGATAAAGCCATCTTGAATAATCCGTCACTCACACGTTACATCAGGAATCTCGGGTTCAACCGCATTCAGGCCAATGCCCTTGCTGCGGTGGGCGCCTCACTCGCTTTGGTCGTCGTCTTCATATTCGCCTATATCAGTGACAAGACCAACAAGCGCGGACTCTCAGTAATCGGGGCTCAGTTTTGCTATCTGATTGTCTTGGTCGTAGCGCGTACGGCACACCCTCATGTGGGCAAGTGGTCACGCTGGGGGCTCTGGACAGCTGTGAACAGCTTCGCGGTTGGGTATCACCCTGTCAATAACTCATGGGTGCAACTCAACTGCAGGGAGCCAGGCGAAAGAAGCATTAGTATTGCGTAGGTTCCCTTTTTTCCTATATAAATTCCCGTTTCGGACCCGCTGATATCGAATAGGATGTGGGTGATGCTCTCCATCAGTGGGTTGATGGTCGGAACGCAGTATTATCGCGGGAATGATGCCCCATTGTAGGTAGCTCAAGCTCCCAGCATTATGAAAGTATAATGCTGCTTTTCTATCCATCGCTGATCTATCATAGTTACCAAACGGGTCTGAGAACACAAATAATCATGGTATCAGTGGGAATGGCATTCGCAGTTCTACAGGTCGTAATCTACACGGTTCACAACAAAAGGGTGGCTGGAGGAAAGCACAAGCCCCGGGTCGGTGAAGCACGGCGAATCTATGTAACATAAATAGACTGGGAAACTATCTATGGCGAAATAGAATCAGAATCAAATTCGCCCTCGAATTCATCTAATATGTGCTTGTGAGCTTGTTTGATGGGACTGCCGAGGATGTGGAACCCCGATTCTTTGCCCCGATCTCGGGGGAAGTTGACGATCACTGGGTGCGGGGAAAAGGCGGGAGCAAAGGGTGGAGTGAGAAGACTTGGCCTATCAACAAGGTAGTCCTCTCTTTTTGTTTACCACATCGGGCAGAAGGTCATGGCCCGACCCTGTTTTGACTTTTGTCTACCTCAGCCCCCCCGAGTGGCAGTGGGGACCTTTTGTGACTTTTACGCCTTGAAATGGGAGAGGTCTTTGCAGATGTTCTTTTGGTTTCTCATTTGATTTACTCAATGAGGAAGAAGAATGACAATGCTCAGCCGGGAGGCATATCGCCAAATTTCAACACAAATTAGCCATGTCATTTCGAGTGGGCGCAGATGATTTGTCTTGATATCTGGACCCAGGACGTGAGCAGAAGATATAAGGATGCAGCTCTGTAGAAGATGCATTTCAGATCTTTGCATCATCTGGATTGAGTCAAAGCCCCTCACAACCCAACATCTCAAACCTCTGGCACTAAACCAATCTGTTCTAAACCCTGAGTTGCTACCTACACGCATACTATGTTTGACGTCGTCATTGTTGGAGCCGGTCTGAGCGGCCTCCAGGCTGCCCTTTCCGCCCAACAAGCCGGGCTTTCAGTCGCAGTCGTCGAAGCTCGAGACCGTGTTGGCGGTAAAACGTGGAGCGTGCCACTGGCCTCTGGACGAGGCGTCGCCGATCTGGGCGCTGCCTGGATAAATGAGAATACGCAGAGTCGTATGGCGAAATATGTCAAGAAATTTCAACTACCGACAGTGGCGCAGAGACTCAAAGGTACTGCCGTCATGCAGCTGGCCGACAGCAGCAGGGTCGAGTTTCCGTTCGGCATTATACCCGAGGTAAGTAAGACCTCTTCAACTTCATCACAGCATTGATGTATGCCATATTTCAGAGCTCATTCTCGTCTGTTAAGTTTTCGATTGAGGAGAAGGAGAACCTTGAGAAGATTCGCGACCACATCCAAGCAGTCTCTTTGAAACGCGAGGCTCCTAGGAAAGAAGACGACGAGGTATCTCTTGACCAATATGTGCGAAGTCTTGGTGCTCTTCCAAAGACAGTGGCAATGATCAACCTCTGGGCCAGAGTGATGCATGGAGTTGAGTCTAGCCAAGAGTCAGCAGCTTTCTTCATTGACTATTGCCGACGCAATGGCGGCCTCTTCTCGATCCGTGCCGATGATCAGACGGGCGGCAACTATCAGCGGTTTCACGGCGGTAAGCTCCGTTACCCGTTAGATTTTTGTACTTTGCTAATCTCCTCTTCATTAGGCACCCAACAGATCGCAAACGGCATCGCCAACTTGATCGGCGAAAGCAACATCCATCTTTCGGCCCCTGTCGCTGCAGTTGAGAATCACCAAACTCACGTTGTTGTCATCACATCTAGAGACCAGCGTTTCGTAGGAAGAAAGGCTATCATTTCTGTGCCAAGCGCTATGCTTCGTGATCTCAACATCTCACCATTGTTGCCTCAAAGGGTCCGGGACGTCACCGACTCGTCAAAGCTTGGACATTACAACAAAGCGATTCTGTGCTATGACAGACCTTGGTGGAGAGATCTTGGGTTCAATGGTTTCTTCATGAGCTATAAGGGACCCGTCTGTGTAGCACGCGACACCAGTGTCGACGAGACAGGGAACTTCGCTCTCACCTGCTTCGTCAATGGCAAATTTGGAGAAGATTGGTCCAAGCTGTACCCCCACGAGCGTCGCCGACTTGTTATAGAGCAGGTAGCAGAGGCTTTCAAGGTTGACGTTGATTCGGAAGCGTTCCGTCCTATCGAAGTCTTTGATCAGATATGGAAGCACGAGCAGTTCAGCCAGGGCGCGCTTGCACCCATCACTGAGATTGGCCACTTTACAGAGTATGCTGATGTGTACGGCAAACCAGTTGGCAATCTCCATTTTGTCGGCACAGAGTACTCGACTGAGTGGAAGGGTTACATGGAAGGGGCGCTATGTTCGGGAGAGCAAGGAGCTAAGGAGGTTCTTGAGGCCCTTCAACGTGCGCCTCGGGCGAACCTTTGATCCGGCGGGTTCGAAGCGAAAAGTTCATGGCCTTGAAACATTATATGAGGATGATCCCGAACCATGGAAACCAAGAGGAAGTTTGGTTTACGCCTATTTCACACAATAGCTGATAGCCACTACGAGCGTGAAGCCTATCTTTCAGAATCGGGTCCTCCATCACAAGGTCTTGATAAGTCTCCCCCAGAGCTAAAAGGTGATGAGACCGAGTGTGAAGATATTTGATATAGCCACAATGCAGCCAGACATGGGCTATTTAAAGTGGCCTCATACCAATTTCGGGTTAAGTAAGTAGGCAATCAGTTGCTGCACAGCACAGGCTTCGACGTGATTCAAGCCGGACACCGAGATCTTCTTGGCATCCGACTAACAGGGCCAAGCCACCATAACCAAAGTGGTTGGTGGTCTGAGGGGCACAAACATGATCCCTGTTGAGTTTCGTGCCAAAGTAAGGTAATGACTCTTCTCTGCCTAGTCATGCTGCACATGCACAGCATGGCATAAATCCAGTCACTGTCTCTTCACTTGACAAAGAATTTATTTAACAGAGCTACCTTCTCTCGATAATTCGCTCCGGAGACTACCAAGCTCCCATACACGAAATCTATCCCACTCTAGAATTTCGCTTTCGGTGCCTACGGCAGTCCCTGTACTCCCTTCGAAGAATCAAGTTTGTCATGATGGAGTCCCAGGATGCAAAGGTCGACTCTCAAAGCGCGTCAAAACAACCCGCCGATGCCCCGTCATTTGACCTGGAGCAGGTCGGGTTTAAGAAGTCGCTTAGCTTTGTGCAAGAAGTTCGGGTGAGTCTTGCTCCCTTCAACTCGTTTGCTAACATTTCACTAAGTCTTCTTACCTTCCAGAACCGATTCCAGACTAGTGAGCCAGCGAAGTATTACACTTTTCTCAGCGTGTTGCATGAGACGAATATGACGCCCATGGAATCAAAAGAAAAGTGGCAAGCTGCTAGGGCAGAGAAGCAGGCTGAGGCTCGCATGAAGCTTGAGGAGCTGTTCAAAGGCCACGAAGACCTATTAGAAAAGCTGGATGCATTTTTGCCACCTCCAAGCATGCCAGCTGAAAATCAATAAATTCCTAACATTGGAAGACGGTATGGTGTACAAGCAGATGGTCTGAGAATAATATTTCACAACCAATTGTGGCTAGTTTGACAGTCATAAGTCACATATTAATTAAATTCTACTCAGCTGCTAATACTGAATGTCTCCGCTGGAGCTTCAAAAACCGCGCGGCAAGGCTGTTCACCGTGCATGCAGGTCGGGCCACCTGTGACCTGCAGCAAACAGTCTTCATGGATAGGGGATTTCAGGCACAAACATTGAAAATTTAAGGTGTAGGTTACTGCTTTTGAGGGATTATTCTTGATCGGTTGGGGCTGCTTGCAGATACAAAGCGGCACAGCCAACATTCATGACTCGGAATGGACTCATCACATGCTCGAATGGCCGTGGTTGGGCTGTGTCTGAGGTCTCCAAAGGCGTCTACCAGCATTTGGTGGATTCTATAGGTAGGTTACATGCTCTGGTGTGTGTACTGAAGGACGGGGTCTTCACGAAAGATAAAAGTAAAACCTCAATATTGACTCATGCTACATTTACATTCTACATGATGAAAACCCGAAGTTGCGGGATAAGTGCAGGCCAACATAACTGGCCCTCGTCCTGCGACCAGATATTTCTCAAAAACACCAAAGCCTTCGGAATATTCAAGAAATTGTTACGGTGATACTGTCTGAGTAGAAATTCTTCAAAGAATAGCCGCTGCTCGGAGGTATGACATTCGAGCGCAGCAATGAACGTAGGCCAGACAAGTATGTGTTCCCCTAGTGCACCTTCTGGGAAAGCCTCCAGGCTCCGTTGGAACGTCTCGATAGCATCGACACATGAGGGCAGTAAAGGAGTTTCATTGTCGTTTGTCAACACTCGACAGAGGTATATGTTGAAGGCCTGCTGGCGGATATCGGCGATAAGGTCAAACGTTGGACAATGATCGGGATACAAGTTGTGGTAGTAGTAGAGACAGTCGAAACTCTCCCGGGAATGGTACAAAATTGCGTTCTTTCCGGCATCCTGACTGACCAGAGGTGCAGCGTAGACTCGCATCCTGGCGAATATGAGCAAGAGATCCAGCTAACAGAACATGAATACGAAGGCGATAACTTACTTGCGAATCTGCCTCAAAAGAAAGCTGCCCATCTCTCTTCCGTCTTCAAGGGCCGCATCACCTCCAATAGCCGTTACGGCGGCTTCCAGCATCTGGAAGACGATAGGAAAGTCTGGCATACCATTGACCATGACAGAAACCAGAAGCACAACAATGGCCAGAACCACGAGCTGCTTGGGCTCATCGCTTCGATCTGCCAGGTCCTTGCGGTTCAGCAGCTGGTTGATTGCTAAGGCATAAAGCCTGTCCGCATTGACTACGGGTTGCAAAATCGCCCTCCCTGAAAGATGGAATGCTGACACGGCAAGAATGGCGTCCATTACCATTGCATTTGACCATGCTATTGGTAGGATCAAACGTCGCCAGCCGTTGTTGATGTCATCCACTACTACCATCTCGGGGGCAATAGCTTCCGAAACTGAATCCAATCATGAGCCCAAACTCATAGAGGGTTGTAGAACATGAAGGATTGATGATAACAACAGCGAACCTTGGACTTACAATGAGTGAGTAGAAACTCCTTCCACGGCTCCAGCACGCTGAGATTCACTGGCGATAGTGGCTCTGCGGAGACGCTGTCGGTATCTGGTCGGGAAGTTTGCGATATGATGCACAAGTCGTCGATTACACCCGAAGATAGTTCCTCTTTATCGTCGGCATGATCTTTACTGGTGGAGACATTACAACCTAGGTCTCTTTCTGAACCACCTCCCTGACTAGACCATTCGCCACCATCACTGTATGTGCGAGCCGAGCTGTTCCAGTACACGTCGTCCCAAGCTGGTGAGTCCCGAAACGGTTCAAGCACCTTTGACGTGACCCTCGCGGAACCATGCGCTGATGTCTGAGCAAGGGCGTCCCTCAGCAGCGCACCTCGACCACCAGAAGTAGACCTTTGTCGTGATGAAAAGCCGTCCAAGAACTTATACTTCAAAACGAAGCCGCTGCATGTGATCCCGCGGTTTTTACACTTTGCGCAGCTCGGCCGCGTGCCATCGCAATCAATTCGACGTTGAGAGCACTCGTAACATCCTGTCCGCGACGAAAGTCGTCAACCAGTCTGCCCCTCTCTCAAACCTGGACTCTGTCTCGAAAGGGGATGCAGACATACCCTTGACTTTTGGAACATAATCTCGTTTCTTCCGAGCCATGAATTCTGTCAAGCATCAAGCCGCTCTCTCATCTCGGATATATCGCTCTGGTGTTGCCAGGATCAGAAGCTCGTCCAGGCCGAAGTGCGGGGAGGTCGTTTCTCAATGTTGAGCCCCAAGGCCTCCCGGACAAGGATCGGGGCACCTTATCGCACTTCCCCCGCAGCAGTGTTGGCCGCGGTTCCTGCTCCGGAGATCGGCATGCTCTAAGCGGCCGAGTTGCAGTAGTGTCGTTCTCCGCTTTCTGGAGATGTCCGAAAAGAGTAACCAGAATGAGAGCACACATTGACAGGCAGAAGAGAGTACATATTACTTTACGGGGTTTTGAAGACTACAGGGTTGCTCAAACACCTTCTAAGGGCGGGGCACTACCTACTTTTGATCGAGCTGACTCCCTATCGAAACCAGACTCGACCAATCAAATTTTATAGCAACGATCTCATCGTCATCTCTAGCTCTTGACAAGCTGCCACCAATAAAGGAAGCCTGCCAGCGCTTCAGAGCATCTTGCTCGATTTGCGTGTACGGAGTGAAGGAAATAAGTCACGATAATTTGCAGACAAACCAAAGGTCAACCCAGTAAAGCACGGACTTCGCATAAGCTTCCCAATTCTCCTAGTTAAGCTTTCCTCGCGACAAATCCCTCCGGTTCCTGACCTGCGCTTCCTCGTATTCTTAATCAATTAGTATTTTTATTCCACGTCTAGGTCATTTCTCTACCCTTTCGCCGAGATGCCGTGAACTACACGACCGAGACCCGAGATTACACGGAATCTCATAAAAGCGTACTAGATTGAAAGCTTGAACGTACGCGGTTCCACGAGTCCTTGTAGAAAAGCTTGTACGGCTCTCCGGATACAATGGCGACCATATCGTGCAATTACTAAAGCGGACTCCTAAATCATCTGTGGATATAAAGCTTCATCAATATCAGAGAACGGCGTGAATAACCACCTCAATACCAAAGACTTTTCTCCTCACAAGTGTTAACATCCCGCACATCACCCTCATCAAAACCCCCAAAACCACCGAAATGCTGCCCTCAATAACCCCCCTCCTCCTCCTTGCCGCCGCAGGAACCTCTCACGCGATCAACATCTGTTGCTCCTCCTTCGCCGGAAACACCTGCACAAAAGACCAATACAACAACCACCGCCAGAACGTCATCCTGAACCAAATCATCAACGTCGACGGCCGCAACTGCGTCCGCAAGGGCGCCGGGCCGGGTGCTTGGACCAGCAAGAAGGACTGGTCCGAGTGGTACGACTGCCAGCAGTGGGTCGGTCCCGAGCAGCACCAGATCGAGGTCGGGGAGTGTACCCTCTTCTGCGTCAAGCCCAGTGGTCTTCTGAACAAGCCTTGTATTTGAGATTTGGTCTTTCGTACCTTGTTTAGCGGACGATGGGTTATACTGCATGATTCCAAGAGGTGTAAAGGGTCGTAAAACTCCTAATTCTTCTTGTACCTCTGCTGTACCTCTAAATGCAAGATGATTGTGTGCAAGACACATTACCAGTACCAGCTCATCACTGTTTGAACTGTCAATTCTTTGGCAATGAGATGATGAAGTCAGCCGTCAAAAATGAATGATCAAGATGCCGTTCTTCCAATTGGTACGTAGGCATTCAAGGACTATCATTCAATCTACGATCAATTCTACTTCTGAAAACGCGATGTTCAGTAAACCACGAATAGGCTGCTCCAAGAATTCCATCAAATAAGAGTCATGACTCCAGCCCAAAATGGCTAAGCTTTCTCAATTGACGCACTATGACATTTGTACTGCTATTAAAGTATCTGAACGCTAGTCATGAGTATCGTTTCCACGCAAATCATAACTCCTGCCATCGCTGTTTGTGTAGGCTACTCTCCCCTCCGTTGCACTGGGGGCTACCCGCTACCGTATCTCTTTGTTCTTCTGCATCGACTTCCGCTCGGATCAATACTCCACAAAGTACTACAAGGTTGTCATGATCTGATTCCAAATGCGTCAGCCCTCACGAAACCACATATGATGATGGTGTTGAAAATGTGCTTGTTGGGATCGCACTCACGCCATTGCCTCGTTAGTGCCCAACTTTGCGCGCCTGGCCGTCCAGATCGGCCTAGCTGCAATCATACCGCAACATCAGGGGCCTGGACACCATTCATACACTCGCAACCACCGGGTTCACTCTTGATAAGAGTCCTATAAAGAGGCAAAATTGAGATGAGGGAAGCCGCTAATGTAACGCAATGAGAGGCTATCACCCAACAGTCGTGTCTGAGAGCGTGAGACCTAAAGCTACAGAGGCAAATCAGGACGATCACCATGTTGATCGAACTGGTTGCAAAGAAATGTGTCCAGGATAAGCACGAAAGAGTATGCTTGAATGTTCCGTTACGATGTCGAAGTAAATTATACATCGTGTTTGCGGCGAGGAACCCATCGAGAAGAGCGCCGACTGATCCATAGAAGAAGAACTCTGTACTGTCGTGGATGCCCTTGGCGTAGCTGTAGAAGATCACCGCGGCGTCGCATGTAACAAGCACAATCGAAAAAAGAAACCAGAAACCGCCGAGGACCTAAGTAAGCGCTTTGTATTTCTTGGCGCTCGTTTCCTCAGCTGGCGTGATTTGGCCCGGTGCTTCAGGTGCATCTGGTACTGCAGGTATGCCCGGGCTTCCTGGCCGCATATCTCGGAGTTCGTATGCTGGAGGAGGCGGTGAGTTACTGTGGCTAGACATGACGAAAAGCGGTGGTGTGTTCGAGCCCGAGTTGGGAAGGACGAATCGGCGTAGACTAAGGTAGCGAACGGATGTGGAGTTTGTCAGATAGAACGAGGCTCTCGGATTGATGATATTCTTCTGATATGTGTGTACAACGAATGAAGAAGTGTTGCTGGCCCAAAAAATCAAAGTTGGTGTGCTCGTGGTGTCGAATGTGGTCAGGAAGAAGCGAAGTTGTGGAGGTGAGGGGCCAGTGTAAACGGTCAGGGCAGTCATGTCAACGGAGAGGAGTGTGTTCTTTCAAGGCTGGTGGCTGTCTGTGGCAGGAAATGCCATTTGCTACTTCCTCCTTTCTGGGACTGCCTACGGGATAATATGGCAAAAGGTAGATCCTGTCTTGACGGAGGAGCGCACTGCTTTCTGCCTTCCTTTAAAAGAAAGACCTCGTCCGCAACCATCTAATCGAGCAAGTCATCGATCGTTAATGAAAATCGTCTGCATTGAGCGGAATCATGGCAGACTTTCATTTCCTGCAGATTTATCATGATACAGAACGTACCACACCATCTCACCAGCATTGGAAGGCAGGTAGCAAAGAGGGTAAGGTAGACATGATACCCAACAACGCTTTCCCTTGGGTGAAATTCGAGTTCAGGCCAGATAAGTATCGTAACCCCGGCTATTGGATGACCTCGACTACGCAAGCTCTGTGGAAAGGGGATGGATAGGGGAAATATCCCCGAGCCCAGTCTACTTCTAGAGACATTTGTACCTTCCCAATAGGCTGCAAGTCTCTTGGTTAAGGTTGTACGGAAGGCGGCAGCGATGCCGGGTTAATCCACCTATCTGAGAGGGCCGACTTCTTCAAAGCACAGGTAGGAGGGCAATGCACTTTCTAGTCCACTGGTTTGTTAGTTAAACCAGGAAGGCACAAGCGGCCTGTGGTTTCGAAACATGCTTGGCCAACGACGGGCTGAACACGAAGCTGCAAGGGAATACAGGTCGAAGGAGGCGCTGCGAAGTAGGAGACAGCACCAACGACAGGACAGGAGGTTAATTATGTTATGGTGTTGCACTAAGATCGCTACATATCTCTCAAGGCTCCAAGTCGTGACGATCGTGTTCAAACAAAGCAGGAAACACAAGGTTGCCTTGCGCCAGAAACGCCAATCCGTAGCATCCCGCGTCTTCTCCCGTATTATTCTGTTTCGAATGATTCAGTTTGTCCCATGCTCCAGAAAAGCCTGTTGTCTTGTTTCTTCAGCCTTGGGCAATGGTGTCGCGAACAATTTTGTTACAGTCGACGGGGTTCTCAAAGACGAACCAGTCGTCGCGAGGTATGTTCTTGAAAGCTTTCTCGAAACGTTCCGGCTCGTTCTTTGCGGAGATACCAATGGCTGCAATGTCAGTGACCTTGCGGATCAAGATGAGCTTGATCCAGCCCTTGAACTCGCGGTAACTGTTGTTTCGAATTAGCTCACGTTTGAGAGGGACTTCAAGGAACGTAATGGGACAACTCACATGTCACCGTAAGCTTCCGGGTCGGACTGGGTTGAGTCACCAATGAGGATGAACTTTCTCTTCGGAAGCCAGTCGTGCACCTTCTTCATGCGCTCCACCTTGTACTGCTCCGTAGCCATCGTCAGCGCCGACAATAGGCCTGCAACCGTCTTCCAGCTTGAGTCGCGGAGGATTATGGACCCAGGCGGGTAGTACTTGTCGCGGAACTCCCTCAAGAACGGGTACAGGTTGTATGGGGAAGCCGAGAGGTAGAACCAAGGCGACTCCTGCGGCAAGAGTGCGGAGATGTTTCGGTACAGCTCCGGCATGCCCTCAATTGGTCTTGGTTCGTTGACGAAGGTCTCGCGGAGGATGCCGATGGGGTCGCTCGTCTGCGTCAACTTGATGGTGTCGTCGATGTCTGGGTGGTGCCGTGTTAGTGGATCGTCATGGCATAGTCTTGATTACCATGTTGACGAACCTGAAATAATTGCCCATCCCTCTGGAGCAGCGAAGAAAGTCTTCATCTCCAGCAAGCCCGTCGCGCCGCGCGGCACAGCTGCGCTCGACGTGACGGTCGAACCGGTGGGCTGCTCGTGGATCTTAAGTGTATCCGTAGTGATGCCGTTCGACCCCGAGGGACCCAGCTTAAGCTCCTTCTTCTGATGCACGACGCGGAGGTGTCGCGCCGGCTGCACGTCCCATAGGAACGGCATGATCCGCTCCTCAATGGTCTTGCGCTCCTCTGCGTCGTCTGAGAGCCCAAGCTTCTCGGCGACGCCCTGCACGATATCGACCACCTTGCATTTCGGCTCCTTCTCGAAAATCGCGGCGACGAACTCGGCTTGCCAGCTGCCTAGACGGGAGGGCTTGTATGCTGTATTGTCCAGGAGCCAGACGATGTCGTCGTCGGTGACGGGCTTCCCCCATGGATTGTAACTGCCTAGGTGCGACAGGATGCCGGTGGCGCTCGCGAAGGCTGCCTGCAGGGTCGGCACTGTCGGGTTCGGGAGCTGTGCCTCGATCTCGTCGAAGCGACGTTCTTTGCGGGTTTGCTTCTGCATCTCGTCTGCGAATGCCGCGGGGCTCTTTCCGTCTTCTTTGGCCGCCATGGTTCCGATGTTTGGCGCGGCCTACAAGTCTTTATATGGATGTCTCTCTGTGTGCAACCTTCGCCTCTCGACAATGAATCAACGGTCACTTGGTCCGCAAGGTAAGCAATGTGACTCGAAAAGGATATTCCTGGTGCCTTGGCGACAAAGTGGTTGGTAGGCTGATGATTCAAGGCTGAAAGGCAGATGTGTCTCGAGGGTAGCTGTTCCTAGTTGACGGGAAACGGTGGAAGATGGTGGGAGGTGCGGCACCTTAGGTAGGCGACCTAGAGCAGATGAATGGACGTAGGCAGTACGGGGCAATAGGCGTATTATGTCTCAGCTGGACGAGGAATTGCTGGGAATACCTATGAGCTTTCAGCTACAGCCTACCTACGCCAGCCATGAGCCGTCGGTGTTGGCGAGAGGGGGGCAGGGCGAACCGATGCATTATGTCAGAGCTAGAGGCACTGGCTGCATCGTCTGTGTGGGAGGTGTCCGTGACATGGTTTAGGGCGAGCTGTGACAGGTCGGTCCATCAGATGGCCACTGGCAAGCTGCCCAAGCTGGTCGCAGCAAAGGCTTGGCTGAATATGCGCTTTCTGGACCCTTGTGACCGCCAGCCGTAAATGACCTAGGGAAGACCAGGCAATGACGATGGACCGATCTGCTTGTAGGCGAAGGTGTGTCGGAGACGTAGGAAATGTGGAGGGATCGAGGGGTTTGGCAGTCGCAAGTCGCAGTCGCACCGTGACATTGGAAGGGGAAAGGTCGCAGGCGGGGGCGGGAGGCATCCGGGACTCACACGCCTTACCTCATCAGGTTCCTCTGGGATCCCCTGCGGTGAAATGGATGGCCATCAAAAAAGGCATGATCCGAAAATGTCCCGATTGGCACGTGTTCGCATCACTCGCCAGGGATCCTCCAGGTCATAAGATCACGTGGCGCTAGCTCTTCCGAAACTCAAAGACACAACATCATAATTGTGAAAGAACAGACCAAAACCACGAGCGTACTTGAAGGCATCGTGCAAAAGTAACACAGAGCAAAATAAATGTCCCTGGCAAGGCTCGAACTTGCGACCTTTGGATATCCCTAGATGATCTAGCGTCATATATGTGTAATATGAGACCAACGCTCTACCGACTGAGCCACAGAGACCGATTAACTGTGGCTGAGCTTCAGAGTGAGCTGTTTAAGAAGGGTCAACAGATGCCAGATTTTGAGCAAATCGGCCGTCTTACACCACGGATCAATTGCTTTTTTGTTTTAACTTCCCTTTACTAAACTATCCTTCTTTTTGGCTCCCCTAAAACTTAGTCAAAATGCTCTCTGAATAGTTGCTTTCTTCGATGCTTCGGTCAAACTGATCGGGCTACCCGGAGCAATCATTTGTCAGGATGTCAGACGGAATAGCCTATGTGTAGGCTGTGGCATAGCCAGGAACTTATTTCAGGCAAACGCACCCGGTCACAATGACTCAAGATTAGGAATGCTAAACTTATATCAGTGATGTATATAATAGTGTGCAACCTCTCATTTGTTGGCATCTTCTCATCCAGTTCACTCGCGAAAAGCACAGCACCTAATCATTGATCAAGCTGCCTTAGACAGAAACCACGATAATCACCGCAAAGATGGCCTCGACTTTTCAAACATCATTTTCCATCACTCACATAACCACCGCCTCAGCTATATTGCATATAGATGGCATCAACTTCCTCATCGATCCCGGCTTCTCTCCGGCTGGCACCGAGTGAGACATGGGCCTGGCCGTGCTCGAAAACACTAAAGGCTCGGCCCTACAACTCGGAGACCTCCCTGTCATTGACGCCGTGCTTCTAAGTCACGAAGATCACCCCGATAACTTGGACGAAATCGGCCGGCTTCTTCTCGACGGCCGCAGGGTTCTCACGAGCCAAGACGGAGCCCGTAAACTACAGTGCTTCGTGTTGGAGGACAGGACTTTGAGGTCACTGGAGTCCCGTGTCAGCATCTTCCCGGAGGTGAAGTTACTGGCTTTGTGCTGAAGGCAGCGGCGTTTTGAGAAACAAACGGCTTACCCAACATCATCTATATCTCTGGCGACACAGTCTACCTCGAGGAGATCCCAAAGCTATTGGAGAAATACCACGTCTCCGTTGCAATCCTCAACGTTGATGCAATAGAGGTCGCAATATCAGATCCTCCTCTGCTGGTCACCATGGATGGGAAACAAGCTGCACGGCTGTTTCGCGAGATTAGGGCAGATGTTCTGGTGCCGATGCACTACGAATCATGGGCACACTTTGCGGAAAACGGAGACCAGCTAAGGGCGGTTTTTGAACAGGAAGGCATTTCTGGCCAGGTGCGCTGGCTAGAGCCGGGAGCCAAGACCAAGATATTTTAAGTAAAATAGTAGTAGTAGCCTTTCATTCTTACCAAACAGCTTCCAACTCTTTGATCTAATACCTGAATGATGACATCTGTCACTTTGAACGGTGAGCAGTTTGCCGTTGCTGATTTCATGAGCGTAGATATACGAAGCACTCGGGCTTTATTACCAAAGTTCTTCCACAGAGCAGATGTGATGTTCCGCTCCTCCTCCCTCATTGAAAATGAGCGGATATCAAAGAAAACCAGCCTACTCCTTATGGGTATTGTCCACCTTGCTTGGAGCCACACCCGTCTCGGCGTCGACAACGCCATGGCCCATGTGTGCTGAGTGAACAAGAGAAGGATTCTCGGCCTTGAGCTTAGCAAACTCCTTCTCAGCCTCCCATGCCCAGATACTGTCGCTGGCAAAGACAAGATCCATCTCTTCCAAAGTGCGTTGGTTCGACTCTGGGTAAAGTGCCCAAACAACAACGAGCGATACGAAGTTGACGGCACCAAAAAGGTACAGTGTCTTTTCGTTGAGCTTCTCGAAGATTGTAGGGAGAAGAAGCACCTGTCGATGGTATCAGCGGTTGGATCAAAATAAAAGAAGGGGCAATTGTCGTGCACTCACCGTCCATCCGTTTCCTATCGACCATCCAACAACACCCCAGGCGTTGCCCTTGGCACGCACTTGGAGAGGAAAGATCTCCGCGGGATACAACCAAGGGACCGTCAACCAAGTCGCACCGAAGACCGCGGTATACAGGAATACGAAGAAGGTCGCGGCACCGCCAAGTCCAGAACGGTTCCCGGGGTTAGCATTGAGAGTCGCTCTTGCCAAGCCTCCGGCACAGAACATGCATATCCCTTGCGCAACAGCACCCCAGTACAGCGTCCAACGTCGACCGATGCGGTCTATAGTAAACACGCAAATCAAGGTCGCAAACTAGAAGATGTCAGCTTCTGCTATCCACAAGATGGGAAGAGGAAAAGCTGATATGCTTACCATGTAGGTGATGTTATTCACACCACTAACCCAAAGACGCTGCTCCGAACTGATGCCAGCAATCGAAAAGATCGTGGGACCGTAAATCGTGATTCCCGCAATTCCTACCCACTCCTGCAGGATCTGAAGCCATATAACTAGTTGTACACGACGACCAGTGTGCAGTTTCCCGGAGCCTATTCCAAAGAACATGGCAAAGTAACTTTGCTGCTTGGCGGTGTCATGCTCCAGGTTTCTGATGCTGATGATTTCCTGCAGCTCTGCCTCTGCAGCCTTTGCATCCTCACCCTCGTTTCCACGCAGTCTGCCCAGGATGAATCTGGCTTCCTCTTCTCGGCCTACTTTTACGAGCCATCGGGGGGACTCTGGCATGAACCAGATCATGATGAACAGAGCGATGAGAGGGATGATTTGGAATGCGATGGGGAATCTCCAAATGAAGGACGAATTGGGGTCCTTGTATTTTGACGTGCCGCTATCACCGGGTTAGGGACTGATAATCTTGACTGGGTGCTGGCAGCTTACAATTGTAGCCAGTATGCGACAACAACGCCAAAGATGTTGAGAGTGAACTCTATGGCAACGAACTTTCCTCGGGACGTATGAGAAGCTACTTCGGTTGCCCACACTGGAGTGATGGCATTCAACATGCCGGTGCCAATGCCGTTCAAGACTCTTGCTTTGATTCATGTTAGGTCGTCGTCCCATATCACAATGAAGGGTTGGTGACTGTGCCTACGTACCACAAAACATCCAATCCGCATTCTGAGCAGCAGTTTGAAGCGCCGCGGTGCAAATAGACCAGATGCATGCAACGGCAATAGTCTTGAGGCGCCCATATCTATCACCGAACCAACCTCCAATCAGGCAGCCCACGAGCGTTCCGGGAAGGTAGTAAACGGCAACCTGGAACATTGTGAGATCAACAGTTATCAAAAGGATGCCACCAGATGCTTACGATGCCTCCTTGCAACAACGGCTTGTCAACAACAACGATCTTTTGCTGTTCGTCCCAGTGACCAAATCCCATCAATTCAGCATAATTTCGTGCTGTGTTGACGCCGCCCATTAAACCTGTGAGACCCGTTATCAAACTTGCTTCACTCAAGTGTTGGAAAGGAGTTTTCCCTGCCTTGGTCGTAGCCGAAGAAGAACACGCTCAGAGAGGCCACAAAGCACACTGCATTGAGCAGTGAGCCCTTGTAGAGCCTGTTGGCGGCACTGTATTTCGCAAGGACACTCGTTGGACTTGGCATTTTGGTCTACAGTCTGATTTCTTTTCTGGCATGGAAGGCTGTACAAACGCGCTGCTGTAACGTCTGGAACAAAGATTAGCAGAAGAAATCCGAAGAAGAGATTCAGTTCCGGAAAGGTCACAGAGGTAGTAATTATGTAAGATTTAAATCTAGATTCTTAATTCCGAGGGTCCATTGCATCGTCGTTAGCCCCCACCCATCCCTCCTCCAAGTTTCCTCTCCCCACACCCCGCGTTTTGAACCGCACGTATCCCATCGACTCTACGGGAACAACAAAACCCGGTAGGTGACATCATCCCAACATCCTACCAGCGATTTTACACAGCATTCACCTCCAACACCAGCGCCGCATATGTCCGACGCCCCCTAAGCCGATTTCCGGCAGGTAACATACCGAACGACTGCAAAGAAAGCTCGGGGCGTTGGCCGGTTTGTCGCCGAAGCCTGCAGGAAAGCTTACATTGGGGGTGGAGACTTGTACGTTTTTCGCCCAACGGCTGATCCGCTATGAGAGGGACTGAGCGCAGTGAGCGGCTGTAAGCGGGATAATCATTGCTTTTTGTGGCATGATCAAGTGATGTCGAGTGAGGAGCCAACCCAGGTTACACCAACAGACCAAGTCGCGACGGACAGAACGCCGCATTGCTTCCTCGCATCGAACGATGCCATCGTCGGTTTTTGTTCTTGATATGCCAGGGCGATGACTCAGTCCTACTGTGGAGGGTGCACCGCTGCCTTGCATGCTCATGACATGGACCGAAGAACTGAGATCTTGAAGAATCGCTCCGCATTGCTTCCGTCTTAATGACTCAAATACTCCGGATCAGCTACGCCGCGATCTTCGGGCCCGCTCCGATTCTCCGACATGAACCTCCGGAACCGGAGGCGGCATCGCACGAGTACCTTGTATTGACCACGCCCGTAATGCCTGTAGATCTGCGCTTCCGCAAAGTAGAAGTTGTAGTGTGCGCGACGATGCCCAACCGTGAGTCGCTTATGATATTATGGGATTGGATATTGACCGAAAGTGGCCTCTATATGAACATGAACGATCTCTTGCTCATACAAGGTGTGTGTCTCTATTCGCTGCAATCAGAATGCTTGCTTCTTCAAACTTGTCCCATCAAGGGACAGTGTACAAACGTCCGTTCACATTCCCAGTACCCAATAACTCCAGTCCCTTTCCGACATCCTCGAATGGAATCTCCTTCATGGACGGTTTTATCGACCCTGATGCGATCAAGTCCAACACTTCTGTAAACTATTGAATGCTAGCGCTTGTCGAGCCCTTGAGCGAGACATTCTGCGTGACAATCGCCGTCGTCGTAACTTCAACGCTCTGGGCCGCAAGCCCCACTAACACCACGCACCCGCCAGGTCTCACTGAGGATATCGCAGCCTCCACCGTCTTCTGAGCTCCTGCAAAGTCCAGGATACCATCGAAAGTTTCTTTTGAGAACATTCTCAAATCTCTGGCACAGTCGAGAGCGCCGAACTCCTTGGCCTGTTCAAACTTATCCGTGTTGATGTCGACGCCAAAGACTCTAGCACCGCGGTGTGCGGCAATCGCCAGTCCGTTCAACCCCAAACCACCTAGACCAATGACAGCAACCGTGTGTGATGCAGATACTCGACCCTCGGCGACGACGGCGTGGTAGGCAGTGGCAACGGAATCCGTGGCCACAGCAGCCTCGGCAAATCCAACATGCTCCGGAATCTTGACGAGATTCTTAACAGGAGCGAGAGCATATTCGGCGTACGCGCCGTCGCAGCCGACACCTAAGGCTTCCTGAAAGTCTCTCTCTTGGATCGGATGGCCCACACAGGCAACAGCTACACGGTCGCCTTTCTTGAATGATGTGCTTGAAGAGTCTCCTAACTCGGTAATGATGCCGGAGACCTCGTGACCCAACGTCACGGGCAGCGCGCACATCCACGCTGCGCCGCCGCCGTGGAGGACGTGGGTGTCTGAGTGGCAGAGCCCCGCGGCTTTGACGCAGATGATGGCCCTTTCGAGGCCTGGAGATGGAATGGGGACATCCTGGAGGACAAGACCTTTGTCGGGGCCGAGGAAGCGGAAGACTTTCATGGTAGGCTGAGGTGCTGTGTAAAAAAAAAGTGTAAAAGGGTGAATTGTCTTGATTCCTGTGTGTCTTAGATAGTTGCCACCTCTTCAAGTATCGCTATTGAGGTCTTTTGTAGCTCAACCTCTGCGCCGGTACTAGACTGATCAGGTCCATTAGACAAAGTAATTGTGGGTATCACCAATGTGGATTCCCTACTGTAGATACAGGATGATTGATAGTGAATCCAAACCTTAAGTCAGGGTACAGTCGTTGAAGTATCTTCCAGCACAGGGTACCCTTGATCAGCGCAGACTTGGCACTTACCCAAACCAGCATGAAACCGAGCCGAGTCTCTGATAGAAAGTGTTCAGAAGAATAACGATTGTAAGAGTCTATCTATTTAGGCGATACGAGAGGACCAAAAGAGCAGGTACATACAAAATCGCGAATGCTGAGCAGATGCTGAAGCAATATAGCGTGATAGTTGAGCTCATAGCATAGTAGATCCGCTACTTCTTCTTGTGCTAGCATCAATGTCAGCGTTCAGGGCGTCTCTGAACTCCCCTAGCAACAAACGTCTCTTTGAGCCGCAAGACTCCATTGCCTTGGGGTTTCGTCGGAGCAGGCCCATGTTGACTAAACTAGACGCGCACTCATGATCAAGTGTTCCTATAGCGCTCGCCCAGTCGTTGGAAGAATCAAATCCCTCAGAGCATCCTGTGCCAGTAGAACCAAAGAAAAACATGATGATTGTGCCGCAGTCGTCGCCAATATCGTTCTCACAAGCTTCGTAGCTCATGGAGTAGCCTCTGGCAATCAAATAACTAGCTATAGCAGTAACTCCAGCGACGGTGCTCGGAGAGGCGGCGGGAAGTGCCCACTTCACAGAGCCAACCCATTCAGCTGTCGTGGCTCTTCCGTCGTCTGCTGGAGCAGCCCAGTCAATAGACTTTGCGAGTCCGGGTAGCTTATCACTAAGATTGGTGGTTAGTGAGCTTCTGTTCTTGTCGAAAAAAATATCCATGAGTTCTTACATCAGAGATTGCAGCTCGTCTGAGCTCTCAGCTTCTATGTTTGCCTCGGCCATGGTAAAACTTTGTGGCCGTCGTTTCTGGGCAGCACACCAGGCCATAACGTCAGCTTGGGTGGTATTGTACGTCGCTATAGGTTTTCCATCAACGTCGACATGGATGCTAGCCACAGGATTGCTGACCACGGCACAGAATCCGAAGTCTATTTTGCAGGCTTTGGTTGCTCTAGCAATCTTCTCAAGATCCAACTCCTCGTCATTTTCACGGTTGAAGATGCCGATGAGGAACTTTGGAGTAAGAGACGAGAGATAGCTGCCGCCAATTTCGCCAATTCCACTAATGTCGGTTCCGACAGACCCAGCATGGGCCATCACGGAGGATTGGTCCATAATATATGAGCCGTAAACCAGGTCTGTTCGTAAATCCAATTTAGTAACAATTCGTACATGGTGGCCATAGCACCAAGTTTCGGGTGGCTGGTTTGATTCTTACCTCCGGGAAAATGCGCGGTCTGGAGATGTAGAACATCTAACTTTGGAAAGGAAGGAGACGAGACCTCCACGTCACCTGTTGGACACAGTCCGCTTTAGCCAATTTCTAACCCCTAACAGTCTTCTAGATGCAACAAACCAGTTTGGTCGGGATCGTTCTTGATCTTGATAGTATGTGTACGATTTCTTTGGCAAGCGAAAAGCCAAACGTCCACCTTGACCCCCCGCAAATTTTCCTCATCGTCAACTGGTTCATTGAGACACAACTTAGGAAAAGCCCAGACTGCGATATGATCTCCTGGCTGATTGTGGTCATTGAGGAGTTCCACCGCATATTTTGGAGACATGATGGAGATTTCCACGGGTTGTTGAAGTTGATGGCAAAGAAATGTTGCAGAATTTGAGTTTTAAAGGCTCATGGGCGAAGGCTTGATGCAGGGAGAAACTGTATGGAGCAAAGCCGCTGATTATATATATATATACAAACCTTTCTCTTGCTGTATCTTAAGTTACCTAGGCTCAAGTAGCAGAACCCTCACGGCGTATCAAAATCTGTCCGTCGAGGAGTGCAATTTGGCTAGGCATCTAATGATCCACTGTTCACTTAGTGGTCGTCTTTGGGGTGTTGGAGCCGAATTCACAGTAGAGCTTTTTGACTTACGAACATACTTAGCCGGAACCACGGCGTGCTGTACTGCCTCCAAACTGACGGCATGCTTTATCTACCAGAACGCTAGGTAAAAAGCATACACACATCTCGTGAGACAGCATTCTATGAACCCAAGCTACTGTATGTCTTGAATAATTTGCGATTTGGATGGGAAGACATATTGCTGGAGATACAGATGCTGAAAATGTCTTGGCATCATCGTCGCTCTTAGCAATCCAGCCACGTCAGTTGAAATGAGATGTTCAGTCTTAAAGTTCGACCTCTCGCCGCGATTCCATGAATGCAGGACCAGTCGTTCACGTTCGTAAGTACCTAATCGCGGCATTTTACATCTCAGACACAAGCCTTGTGTAAACGTCATTTCTGGGGCCGAGAAACCATCGAGAGTCTGGCAGTAAGCCAATGAGAACTAGCAGCACGTATAGAGGGTCTTACTGTGGACATGGGGCCTAGAGGGCATTAGGTCCAGCTACATGATGAGAAAAGAAAAAGGGCCGAATCTTCTCCTGGAGCCTCAGGTATGTTGACGGTCCTGAAGGAGCATGTCCCACTAACTTCCCGAAAGGCAGCACGACCGCGACCAAAGTAGGAGTCCGGTTGGCTGTGGCATGTGGGCAAGGCTGTATTGAGATACGAAGGAGACCTGTGTTAAGACAGAACGTTCAACGACGTATGATTCTATGTTTGGACCCCACGGGGTCAAGGTGGCGAATGGGATGCTCCCGGCCCGAGACCCGGGGTAATGGCACAGGGTATTGCTAGGCACAGTAGCCGTAGCGAGACGATGCGAACCACGTTCCTCGATGTCTGATGGTGAATGCAATTGTAATGCGTTAGAAAGTCTGGTTCAAGCAGTCGACCTCTAAATAGAACTTTCTGCAAATCATGCAGGCAGACTTCACTGCTGTTTCTTACTTCGTCTTTATGCACTTAAAAACATATGGTTCGAGGTGAAGCCGCGATATGGCATAACGCCCCTGGGTTTCTCATACCGCGGAATGCCGTGTTTTTGCAATAGCCCCTGTTGATATTTAGGTCTTTCGTCATTTGCCACACCCTATTTCAAATACGTTTTGCATCAGGCACGTGTACTAGCCGCTTATTTCTGTATGGAGATAGCTTGGTCTAATCTCAGCCCAATGGGGTTTGACGAGTGGCTTCAAGGCTGTGTTAAAAGGCTTTGCATTATACAAATGAAGGGAAAATTAAGCTTGAATCAATCAAAGTGTGTTGGGTTAGCCCTCAGGAGGCAGAGACAGCTGTAAGCCTCGGCCCCGAGCGTGATTGCTTGCGCGCGAACGTTATTCTTGGCATCAACGATCTGTAAGCAACGATCTATTTCAAAACCGAAGAAGCGTATTCGGCATGTATGTGACTGATTCTTGGACAAAGGGGATATGGGGGTTAAAAACAAGTCTCAGCCGGTGCTGTCGACTCTGGAAGATAGATGACAGCCAGGCCTGTTCTGTAGAAATCTGACATCTATGTCCTTTCGGTGGAAAGTACCTTCATGTGTAGATGTGCTTACTTGAACGTGTTGTCTTCTGTGCTGGTACCACAGTTACCGCAAGAATGCCAAGGGCGTTTACCCAAAAGTCTACGGAACTTCAGAACTTCAGCCACCATACAGAGTGAGGGTACTTTTTGGCAGTTGAATCCAGTACCCAGCTATTTACGCAGGGCCCTCGCTTTACGTGTCAGAGACCATAAGCTAAGTCTGAATGGTAGGAAGTCAGAATGTATGTGTCTTGAAAATCTAGAAGCATAACGCGGGTTTCTGCCCTGTTTGAGGTTCTCACGTTCCTCGCATCCCACTCTCGTGCGTGGCCAAAGCCTTGGTCTCAGCCCTGTATGATTACGGCCCCCAGCCCCATGACTCGGCCTAGGAGACTCAGAATCAAGTGGCAAAGTTTCTGAACCGTCAATATTCACTAATGTTTCAGCCCTGCGGCTGAGACCTTTCACTTTTAGTCACCGAAGGACCGCCGAAGATATCGCGCTAAGAGCTATGGCTGACAGGCGTCGAAGACACGATATTCTTCTGCAAGGATGCAATGTGAGATGGCTTCGCTCCTGCATTCCACTCTGCCTTTTTACTACAAGCAACATTCCGGATTTGGGGTAAATGCACCAAAAGTCTATTAAGTCATCGGGGAATCTGCTGAAGAACACATCGGTGATTATTTTGAAAAACATGACACAGCTGTAAGTAAAGTAGTTACTTTTAGCGCGCCAGCGTGAAGCTATCTGGCCATGAGCTATTCTCACCGCGCATTTGACCCTGAAAGAACCATGTGGAGAGCCGTCAGCCAATCAAAAATGTCCATCTCCATCTTGTCAGATTCTGACGCAACGACGACTGGCTCTTTTCTTTACCCCGCCCTCATGACCTTAAACAACAATGGCGATGGAAGCAGAAGCAGTAAGAGAAATCCAAGGGCTATCTCCCTACGCATACTCTGCGTTACCTTCAGAGAGCTCTATTCGCCTTCTGCAGATCTCCCAGGATAGTTCCTGTGCACAAGGCTTCTTGGCACGACTAGAGACCTACGAGCTTGATGATGCGCCCCCATTTTGGGCACTTTCATACACATGGGGGCCTTCGGAGTTTGACGAGGGGTCAAGTGCTACAGAGAAAACGGAGACGCAGTTTACCCATCTAGTATGTGACGGTGGGCGACTCCGAGTCGGCCAAAATCTTTTTGACTTTCTGCGGCAATTCAAAAATGACATTGCCTTCTACGCAGAGTCATCAGAGATCGGATACCAGTCACGTAAAGCAAATCATTCGGCTCGTTTGATCTACCCCGAGAATGGCTTTAATCTTTGGGTCGATGCTATTTGTATAGACCAGCAAGAGAGCCAAGAAAGATGCCACCAAGTCCAGCTCATGGGTCAAATTTACGAGGCTGCAAGAAGTGTAATTGTCTGGCTCGGCACAACTGAGCCCCCGTATGAAGTCTACTGGGTTGCCAAATGTTTCACACCGAAGATATTGGAAGTGGCCCGGGCCGCAAGCAACGCTGACTTCCTACAACAAGTTGGGCCGGAATTAGACCACCCCGAGATCATGCAGTTGCTTGGGAAGGATTTCTGCGATGAGTGGCGCAAGTCATATCCAGTGTACTTCGGATTCTTCCTCAAGAAGCGATGGCTCACGCGTGGATGGGTTGTCCAGGAAGCAGCGATCCCTCATTCTGAGGATATTGTGCTTCAGTGTGGCAGGGTCCAATTCGCCTGGTCTGACATCAACAAACTATCTGCCTTCATTCTTCGGGTGCGTTGGGATGAGAAGCTCATACGTAGACTAGGCGAACTCTTTTCGGATTGGAAGAAACGCCCTGGCACGATAGATCGTCTTTGGAACTCGACAAAGACTTCTCTTTCGGCCTTCAGACGCGAGAAGGTTAGCAACGGGATGGCCCATTGGCAGAAACAGCGCTGGGGAGCTACGACAGATGAAGCTATGCGCCATGCTGAAGTACTGCAAACTCTCCACCGGCTGAGGATTTACAACTTCGAAAACCCGCTGGACCATATCTATGGCGCGCTGGGAGTCATACAACGCATCCTGGGTCGCAATTATCAGGTTGAGGTGGAAACCAGTTATGATGTTTCCGTCGAAGTTGTTTATACCCAGGTCACGACTTGGTTGATCAAGCATTTGTCCAATCTCGACATTCTGGGACTAGCAGGCCTGACTGAAGGCCGCCTACCAAATCTGCCGTCGTGGGTTCCAGACTTCTCATCCCATGGGCCTGAACACTATACTTCTCTGCAAAGACTGAGACAGCTGGCACGAGGGTCGGATTTCCCGAGAACGTTCGATGTGACCAGCACTGCAGATGGAGCGAGCAGCCACGGGGCCCGGAGTCATGGTCCCACCACTCTCATGCTGGAGGGAATCCTAATCGACAGGGTCTCAAATACCGAAAGTTTGGAGTTCGATAGGCACAATATCTTCAGCAACGTAACATGGCTACGCCATATGAGAAGTCGGCAGAGTGTTTATGAATCAACAGGAGAGAGTTTCATGGATGTGGCCGTGTCAACCCTGATTGCAGACGTCAAGCTACTCGAAGACTCTCAAGAGAGTCGAAGAGAGTGGGTACAGAGGTGCATAACCTACAATGACGACTTGAGCATGAGAGATGGAGACATGAAAGATTCAAGCTTGGTTATGCCGACAGAGATATTGCCCCAACATTCTGACACGGCCATTCACGAAGACTCATTATCAGAAAGCTTGATTGAAGATTCCCTTTCAAAGGTGGTTCATTTCATTGCTTCTGGGAGACGGTTGTTGGAGACAGACAAAGGCTACCTTGGGCTTGGATCAGCGGCTTCTGAGGTCGATGATGAAGTTTGGCTTATTCGTGGTAGCCGTATGCCGTTATTGCTGAGAAATAGCCCAGCCAATACGAGCCGCGACAACAATGTTGCAATTACGAATGACAAAAAGTACGTCTTGGTTGGAGAGGCATATGTCCATGGGATCATGTATGGAGAGTTGATGACCGGCGACTTCATCTCACGTTGTCAGACGGTTTCCATCGTCTGAGCAAGATCAACAGTAGTCCGCCGAGATTACCCATCAAAAGACTAGAGTAGGGGTCAGTAGATAGCAGGTTTAGAAGAATTCAGCCCTGAAAGCATACAGCCACAGACGTGGTAGGCGAGCTCACACAATGGTTCTTTGGGTAACCTCGTGCTCGACACGACAGCCTACCTATATATATATATATTCATTCGTTCCCGGCGCTTCCGTCAGGGTTGCCAAAGGTTTTGGAGGTATTTAGTTGAGAAAAAGACGTCACAAAAGGGGCAGCAAGCGGTACGACCGTCGAGGACGTTGAGAAAGAACCCACTTCAATGTATTCAACTGTTGACTTCTGTCACTCCTCCGATGTGCCAATCTGTTTGTCGTCCCAAGAGCCGTGGGTACACCCTGCCGCCGTTCGGAAACTCATGCAACAAGCGTCTGTACACGCCCTGATATTCTGAGATAATTTATTGTAATAACCAATTATGTGGTGGTTTCTTTCCGGCTTTACAGGCGCAAAAGATGGATCTTAATGGTATCAGGCTTCCAAGGAAAATCATACGATACGATGAAGTCTGATTATTCTCTTTCTACCATGCAGTGTGTCCTCCGTCGATAATCATATTGCTCCCCGTCATAAACGAGCTGGCGTTACTCATAAGGAAGAGTGCTGCGCCCTTGAACTCCGTTGTATCTGCCAGGCGACCAAACATGTTCAAGCTTTCCCATTCCTCTTTCAGACCTGGTACTTCCTCGAAATTCTTCCGTACCATCGGTGTCATAATGTGCCCTGGGCTGATACAGTTGACCCGAATGCCACCAGTCCCTTCCTTGGTGATTGGGCTCCACTCCATTGCCAGATTGCGCGCTAGCTGAATCAAGGCGGCTTTGGAAGAGTTGTAGACGGGTGAGATTAGGCCATGGTTTGCGATGAGCCCGGACATGCTGGCAATCATGCAAATGCTGCCGCGAGATTTGTACTTGATCATTTGTCGTGCCACAACTTCCCTCTCGCCTAATTTTTCTTGGCATCTGCTGTTAGTGAATGAGTGAGCCTACCACCAAATTACTAACAGCCGAAAACTCTTCACCTCCCCTTGCCGGAGCCCGCATCCGCGATGGCCTCACAGCCGCCGTCGGGCACCGGACTGATGTCGGCCGACCAAGCCGACCCCGAACCAGGCTCCGGGACACCTCCGGAGCCGAACCCCACCTCAAGAGCTAAGCGACGCCGCGACGCCGAGGCACAGCCGACCCGGCCCAGCCTAACGGGAAGCCAGCTTGATGCCACCACCGACGCCCCTACCTCGGCCGAGGGGCCCGCAGCCTCTACCGCATCTGCTCCGAGCGGATCTGCCACAGGGTCCGTCTTGACAGCCCTTGCAGAAGAAGCTAGACAGTACGAGGCACGGAAAGACGTCTTTCTGACCATTGCACGGTCCGTCGACAGCGTTGTCGCCAGCTTTGACGGTTCTAGAAAGCAGATCGCGAAAGAAGCCACTGCCTATGTCATTCAAACCCTCAAGAGACTGATCAATCACGAGACAAGCCCAATAGCGGCCCGGAGTTGGGCGGCTGTCGTCGCACCGATGGCGGGCAACACCACTGCGGCGACCCGGAGCGGCCAGAGCTGCCAGAGCTCTGCCCGCCCGAAGGCCACACTCCCCGCCGAGGATCAGCCGCAGGCGCAGCCGAAGGAGGACCTCCGCATCTTTGCCCGCGTCCCGGAAGAAAGCTTAGC